TTCTCTCGCTCGCTCCATTGGCATTCATCGAGGCTGCTTTTGTTATTCGAACAGTGTGGACGGGACGATTGCCAAGTGCGCCTCGTCCTTGCTTACTCGCTCACTGATTTTCACTCGCCTTTCACCCACTCGCGGAATTTCCCCCACCTCCGGCCCCGACACCGACCCCACTCACCTCAAGCAAAAGGGTAGCCGAAGCTCGCCCTAAGCCTTCACCGTGACTAAAGGAAAGGGGGAGGGGGGCTTTGATCGGGGCCGCGAATCGCCACAGAAAGTTCAACGCGCCGATAGCCGGCGACACTTTGATGCCGCTTCCTTGTCTACCTTCTATGCCGAGATAACGAGGTGCAGACCGTTTCTTCCATCACCATTACGCGTGATATACGATTTTGTTGACATTGGCTATTTTATGGGGCAGAGAACCTGTTCTCTCTTTATTGTTCGCTGTCCACTCGCCGCTAACTTTTCTGTCGCTTAATCGTGGAAAAACGTAGCGTGCGTTATGAAATGTTTACTTTTATCGCGCGTACAAAGAAACGTATTCCACGCGCGTCATTGTCAACCGTTCTTACGAATGCCATGACGTTGGATCTTGCTTGCTGTACGCGTCGTCACAGTTTTTGAAAATAATCGACTGTTCGAGAGCGTTAGAAGGCGAGTGAGCGACTGAATCCCGATCGGTCGTCGCCCATCTGAAAATCAGAGCGAGAGGACTGGAGGGAGGGAGAAAGTGAAGGAAGGAAGGAAGGAAGGAAGGAAGGAAGGAAGGAAGGAAGGAAGGAAGGAACGACTTCTACGTCCGACTCGGGACTCTCACGAGCGCGTACGGGGCTGCTGAACGATCGACGCTCCTCGCAGCCGGTGAAACAAAGACGTCGTAAAGCGTCGCCTCGGGCACCTGACCCACTGACATAGAAAAGCGCGTGTTACTCGTGTAATCGGTGGGTGCACGAGCGGCGTCGACGCCTCCGTGTGCCCGAGGTATTATCGGAGCTCGAGCGAGAAGAAGGAGAAATAACGAAATAAGCGTGCGCTAATTTTCGTACGGGTCGTGACGAAAGACGAAGATAGGGACGAGGATAAAGAGTAGGATCATGAGGATGAGAAGGAGGGGGGACAAAGAGCATTGGACACGTAGTGGATTGCCCGAGGTTGAGACGCCTCCATCCCTTTCACGTGCTTAAATCGATAATTTAGGCTTTCGAGAAAGAGGATGATGTGATGGGGTTATTGGGGTATCATTGAGTCTATCTGTTTTTTCTCCGAACGATTGTGTCTTCTCTCGTCGTATCATTAATTTACTGGTCGGTCCCCGTTTCAGGAAAAACTGTTTTTGTATGAAAAGCGTGTTATCTTATTTAATGTTAAATATTGAAAATGTTATTTAATGTTAAATATTGAAAATAAATGCCGAAGAAGCGTAGCGTTGAGGATCTTAGAGCTATTGAAATTAAATGTAAATAAGACGAAAAAAGCTCTTTATAACGCAATCTGTTTATATAAGTAATTCAAGAAGTTTCATTGGAGCTGTTTGTCGTCGTTCATTCTGATTTAAATACTGTATCTTATCGTAAAAATAATCTTTAACGAAAGATAAATTATTTCAACTCCTGCTCGGCTGTGAATTATGAAATTAATGTGGTCGTTAATTAAATTAATCAATACCGTTGTACTTATCTAACGCGAACTCAAGTAATTTAATGACTGATTTTCCGTAATACTGTACATTAAATTTAGTAATAATACGTATGATACTTTGTTAGATTAAAATTTATGTTTTTTAATTGGTTTTTATTTTTGATTTTTGATTTTTGATTTTGTTATTTATCGATGTTTTTCTTTATATAAGCTGGTGTCTTATTGTTAACAAAATCTTAGAGATGAAGTTTGTGTCGCTTTGTTGAATCGTAAAGAATTAATTATCATTGGGAGGATGTTATGTCGATCTGCAATATACGTAACACTTTGAATTCCATTAATAGCAACAGGATTTGCAATTATTTATCAATATAACTGTGAATAATTTCAAAATTGTCAAAATTATATAATTGTTATTAACGTTAAATCTAATATTAATTGTCGTAATGTTGCAGACACTGAATTGCATTTTTATGTAATTATCAAGTGAAAAGGTATAGGCGTAACACGTCAATATTATTTTTTACAAAATAAATTTTCCAATAAAAATTCGCGAATATAATATCTAAAATAATCTTCTGTTTGTTGAATAATCGACAGGTAATTCGCGTTCTATCCTTAATAAATAACCAACGATGAAGTGGTTTTTATTTATCTTTTTTCCCCCAACGGATCTACGAAATGTTTCCATTGTATCAAATACTTTTTTATTCACAATGATGCCAATAAAATTCTTTTCGTTACAATTTCGTCTTGGATGATCATTTCTAATTTAATTGGTAATCCATTATTGCATCAATCACTTATGAAACTAAATATCTTTTTATATTTTACATATACCTTTGCTGCTTATTATCTCGTTACATGGCGCCAGTTGACTATTTCTACGCGCGATATTCATTTGGATAATTAACGTCACAACTCAATTACGGGAAGCTGTACGTCTAAAGCTTAGCAATTCAATATTACAAAGTCATTACTATTATTATAACGTGAAATGGCATGTTGCAAATATGTTTACGTATTTATATTAATGCTTTTAAAGTAATATTAATAAGTATGTGTATCATTACTTTGGGATAGTTGAAAAATATTTTCTCCAATGAAAATTATCCTAGGCTTATAGTGAAATTATTAACAATAAATGACTTATGAATAGACAAAATAATAAATTCGATTGGTATAAAACATTACGCATTAACCTTTTAGAAACGGTAGAATTCTCATATTGGTAAAAATTATTTTCTTTTTCTTTATTCGTGTATAGTGATTTTTTCACTCATCTTAAAAGTAATAAGCTATTTCAATATGCATGCTTTTTATTTGCATAAACGACTGAATAAACAATTCGAATAAAATATCATTTATCTTATAAATTCGAGAGTTCCTTATCTACTTTTATACTATTTTTAAAATGACATTCTCTCAAAATTTAAATGAAATGAAATTTTAATTAATTCCAATAGTGAAATTTACACATTACGTATAATTTAAAGATTTATGTAATATGATTTCTACAAAAATGTCGTTGGTCATGAATCAATTGAAAATTGAAAATCGAAAGGCGATTAAAATCTTTATCTTTATCTCAGCATTTCCATTTTATAATCTTGAATCCTACATCCAAAATATGATAATAATACAATACTCAGCCGATATATTTCAGAAGGAAGTACACACACGCGCGCGCGCGCAAACGCACAAACGCACACGCACACTCGCGCGCACTCGCGCACACTTACGCACACTTACGCACACTTACGCATACGAACGCACTTATTAAATAAATATAGCGTAATAAATCATTATTATTTTCATTCCTTCAATAATGATGTACTCTAATATCAGTATTTCAATGAGCAGAAATCACGTTCGGAACGGAAATTCTCACTTATAACATACGAATATATAATTTCAAAATAAGTCGAGGCCTATAATATTCTAAACCAAATAGCCTGGACAATGTGAAAACTACACGATGCTCGCAGCTCCACGTCGATCTGATCAACGCCGACGCAACTTTACGATTATTTGTATTATTTGTCGGTTAAAATTTAGAACGCGCAAATATCATGATATTCAAAGGCACGGTACTAGCGGCAATAAAATTCGTGTTTTTTTTTCCATGTGAAAGACGTCACGGTGTCGCGCTCGCCGTTCCCTCAAAATCGCTTCTTTTCCCGGGTATACGAATCTAAATAGGCCGGATACCCATCACCGACCGTTACTTTGCGAGTTTCTCCCCACCCGCGCTCATCCCTCTTCATCCTCCTAGATCCTCGCCTTGCCCGGTAAAGCATACAATATCAGACCATTGGACCTTTGCCGATAGAGACTATCGACACTGCAAACGGTTCACAACTCCTCGGATTCAATCACCGTCTCCACATGCTCGATACTTTGCTTTCGCCTTATTTTCATTGTGACATCGGCACGCTCGCTACGCTCGAATCATTACGACCTATTTATCAGTCGGCTACGCTTATTTTTCTCGCGACCCACGAAAGCCTCGAGCGACGTTCGTCGTTTGGCTCACGGGGCAAGCGTGCGACGCCCCATTGAAGTCCATTGAACACGAGTTGCGCATTGAATAAGGCGCTCGTGGTCGGAGATGCGAGACAAAGGGTCAGCGTAATCTATTATGACGAAACCATATTCATAAGGAGGTCCTTTAAAGGAGCTAGCGATTTAAATAAATTGCGGACATAGCCATAGAATAAAAAATCCGAGTGCGACAAACTATTTCATTGACTCTCTCAATACAATAGAAGCAACCATATAAACGACGCTCGGCCGGATTAATTTATGCTAAGTTGTGCATTTGTGATAATAAGATTTTCATCCAATCGAGGTTCTCTCACCTCGATCCTATAATGATTTAGTAATCGCGAGCACGATGCAACGATAATGATCATTTGATTTTTTTTTTTTTTTTTGTTTGTTGTTGTTGTTGTTGTTGTTGCCATTCTTTATAATTTTAACGAGGTATTGCATGAAAATGTTGTCCTTAATGTCGTATGTCAGCGCACGTGACGAGGCGAATGTTCCCCGGAACTTTCGTTTTCGGTAAAGTTCCTTGGATATTAATATCGATATGAGAAAAGAAGAAGGAATATGGAGCTACGTAGGCTCGGCTTTTCTCAAACTTGGCACATTAGAGTGGATAATAAAGCGATAAAGCGCGAGATCGATAACTGTACATCGAGTAAACTGTACACGATAAAAAGGGAACACTCGTAGATTGATGGATAAGTAACGAGTTTTATATTATAATTATTATCTCGGAGTGTACTCGTAGTCCTGTCTGTCGATGAGGCGTTGCGCACATGCTAATTTCTTGTTTTCATCCGATCGTTTTACAGATGGCGCGGATCCGTGTACAAGTTGATCTGGCGAGAACTTCTGGTCTACCTACTAGCTTACTACGTCATTAATTTTATTTATCGATACGCGCTTAACGAAGAGCAGCAAAGGTAAGTGATTGCATCGCACACCAACCAGCGATTTTATAACACTCTTCTTTGAAAATAGGAAGTGAATTAGAAAGTACACCGAGAAGGAGAAGGACGAATGCTTAGCTTAGCGAGAGCAAAATGAACGAAATGGAATTAGTCGGTACATTTGTACGATTCATCTGTACATTCTTTGGCATAATTGTAACGTTGATCGTATAATAATCTCATTTGCTGGCATACGGCAGGCAAAAAGATTAATGAAAGGCATGTATTAGGTGGTTACGATTAGTGTCTTACATTTATTACTGCTTATTATAATTTATTATGCCATTTACGAAACAATATCTTTCCAACTAAGTTAATTTAATTTAATAATGGCTTTAATTTCTCGACCACGAGTTAACTACATTACTGGCATTAAGTCGTTCGATGAGACCTTAAATTACAATAATATACATAATTGAAAACGTTTTTCTTTTTGTTTTGTTTCTTTCTTTTCTCTCTCTCTTTTTTTTTTTTTTTTTTTTTTTTTTTTTTAGTAACACGTTTGTTCGACATGTGCATCTTCATCAGCATAATAAAAACTTTTTTCTCAATAATATATTATGATGAACGCGATTAAATCGAGTCACGTCAGAATGCTTAATCTTCTTTTTGATATACAAACAAATCGGGGAAATATGCATTGTTTGGGATAGCGTTAAAATATTTAATAAATTGACTGTTGACGAAATGATTTTGCTCAAAAGTTATGATAAAAATGGCAATTGATGTCCCGTTAACATTCATTTTTCGGCATAAAATAATTCTTTAGCGTAAAAACATTTTAGTTTAATAAAATAATTTGTAAGGAGTAGATTAGAATAAAGTAGAAATATTAAATTTAAACTATTATTCATGGCCATTTAATAATTTTAAAATTAGTAAATCTAGTTGTCTTGAATTTACGGTCGATATGAAAATTGGTTAAGCTTATTATTCACTTTCCTCGGTATTGTTGATTCAATAAAAATGCAAAAAAAATTTTTTTTTTAATGTTTTTTTAATTTTTTCATACCACATTTTTGAGAAAATAGTACAAAATGATATTACTCTACAGTTATTAATCTATTTAGATATAAAGCGCGCGCGCACGCACACACACACACACACACACACACACACACACACACATATACGTCTATGCATTTTTTGTTTTTTAATAATTTTTCTACGTTTATAATTAAAGGGAAAGTTACATTGCAATGCTCAATTGACTCTAAGAATTGGATATTAAATAATTCAGGATACACACGGAGAAGGCAGATGATTACGCAACACATTACAATATTTATTCATGGCAAATTTATCTATACGTACGATTATTTGCATTTATATAAATGCACATTAGCTTTTAAGATATACAATTTCTTGGTGGTTTCATTAATCATTAGCTTTATTTAATAATAACTCCGCGTCTTATTATTGCTTAGCTATTGTCAAGCCTATATCATCATTATACATTTTACTAAAATAATGTAGCGAATAATGCATTATTGGTGGCTTTGTACTTTGAGATTGAAAGATTTGTCAATGCGTTGTTAGATGAAGTTCGTCGTCGAATTAATATTCAACGCACACATGTCTCTTAGGGACATACGCGTCATTTGAAAAAAAAAAAAAAAAAAAAAAAAAACAAGGTGTTTTTCAGACAGTATTATTGTAAGTTAAGTAGCGAAATTCATCGTGATTGAGTTGTCATCCTTACGATTGCGAATTTGTTTCAGGGTATTTGAGAGGATTCGTTACTACTTTGGCAATTCGAGCGAATCGATACCGATGTCTTTTGTGCTGGGCTTTTACGTGAGTCTGGTCGTGAAGAGGTGGTGGGAGCAATACAAGCTCTTACCTTGGCCAGACAATCTCGCCCTTTTTATTAGCGCCGCGATCCCAGGAAACGTAAGTGCCATCGTCTCATATGATAAAGCATGAATGTTTGAAAATTGTCGTGAAGATGCGTGGTTTGGAGCATTTGGGGGCCGATCTTTTTTATTAGGCGAATTTATTACAAGCGAAACGTATTACAAATGAACGGAGTAAACGCTGATATTCCTAATGCTCGCGTATGATCGTTAATTCATTAAATGATAAAAGCAAGCGCGTACAATATTATTTCGTCTCGGATTTGCCGGCAATGCCGATACTACGCGCATTATTACCAAAGTACGAAATTTAAAAATAGAAATGAGCCGCGACGGTCGAGCTCGAGAGTAATTCATTTCTTTCGAGGGCTTCCGTCGCCCTTTCCAATCCTTTAACTATGATCCTATTGTCGCTCGGTTGCGTTATAACAGCTTCGAGTCACACTGCAAACTATAATAATTACAGCGACCTTGTCAAATTGCCGGCTACTATCTTATTTATATATTTTTACTCATTATGGCTAATGAATCACCGTGACACGCTTTATGGAGTGTCGTTAACCTGCCCGCCAAAGGCTGAAACGAACGCTTAGAATACCTTTTAATTTCAGTTTTTTTTTTTTTTTTTTGCTCGAAAAATAGAGTCGATCGCGCTTGCGATCCCACTAGCATTGCACTGTCTTATAATTTTTCGCGAAGCCTCGACACACATCGCTGATAACCTGTATTCGGTATGACAATGTAATGACTTGTAATGCGCAAGCCCGAGATTTTTTGTATCTAACGCGCTTCAGTTTAATAACGCCAAATGTTCGTTAATCTGATGCATCGACGAAATAAGGAAATGGAAAATGTTTGCGCGCGAAGGAAAGTAATATGTAGTAGGAAAGGCAAACGGTATAAGCGACCGCGGCAGTGTTTCGCCTATTTGTTAAACTCTATTATTATTCGTCGCAGCGCGCTTATAGTTCATGACTCGCACGGCAAATTAAGCAATATAGCATACGATAATACTCCATACGGTTAAGGCATATTCCATTTTCAGATATATGACTACCTTATTCCATCGTTTAACTTAGCGGTATCAAGATTATAAGTGCAACGTTTTTAATTGTTCTCAAATATAATTACTTATTTTCAAAAATGTGTCGAAGGTTACGGTTGCATTGCTGTAATATTTTAATATTTTTTTTCTTTTTTTTCTTTCAATGTAACATAGGCATGAATATCAAAATTTCTTCGCATGCATTATGATTTCTTGAATTTCATTGATTTTACAATAATTCAAGAATTTTATTCAATCGACTGCTAAAATTTTTTTTACCTATTGTAAAAGCCGTGGATAATACAGAGAATTCCTATACTTTATTTAAAGCATTTTAATTAATTGTATCCGCATAACATTAGTTATAATGAGCTTTTCAAAAATACGCGATTTAAAGAAATACGATCGACTTTGTCGCGTCGATCAAGCCAAAATAATAGAAAATTGCCGCAAAGGAGTATAAAAGCACTCTAATCGATATAAATAAATTAATTCTATAATTAAAAACAACAGCAGTTTAAATATTCCTTATCGTATTATGACCACGATGAGTATACAACGGTATATAATTAATGGAACATGTTTTTCGAACAATATTTTATCACGAATTCTCAGAATAAAGAAATTAAAATTTACAGTCGTATGAAAATTAACGTAAAGTCGCTATTGGGAGTGCAAAACAGAAAAGAAAAATTAATGTTTCATCACTACTCTCTCACGCTACTGCATTAGGAGCGAAGAAAAAAAAAATCAAATCAAATTATCTTAAATATTAGGCTATAAATTTGCCATATATTACTCGGCTGCGCCTTACATTATAAAATACTTTGGGCCTTTGGATAACGCGTGTAAAGATAAACGGCCTGAGCGTGTTCAACGAAAATTTTCGCATTCTCAGCCGAAATCGCGAGATTAATTGCTCGAGGCGCTTATTGACATCTCGTTAAATTGGCCGTCGGAGAGGAGAGGGTAGACCGGTTGCCGAGGTCGACGAAAAGCAATGCCAGCACTGACTCCCAGGTCTTTATGCTGTTTCAGGACGAACGTGGCCGTCTGATGCGCCGTAATATCGTTCGGTATGCTGTTCTCGCATACGTAATAACGCTTCAGAGGATCTCGCTGCGGGTGAAGCGCCGATTTCCGACCCTCCAGCACATCGTCGACGTTGGTCAGTGAGTTATTTCAATCTATTTTCCTCTTCCCTCCCCGTCCTTTCCCACCTCCCCTCGCTCACACAAGCAAACACGCACGCCAGCACCCGCACCCACGCCCGCACCATCCACCCACACACGCGCACGTCGGTACAGCGAGAGCGTCTCCTTAATTACTCCATAACTCACGGCGCTCGCTTTAAATCCCTCGACTTTCTTTATGGGCAGTGCCGGCGTTCGCGGAATCGCTCCAATGAGCCTGCGCGCACGTTTCTCATTCGAGAGCCGATTAAGAATTCGCAGACTCGAAGCTTTTAAAAGGGGCTTTGGAGCGAAGCGCCGCGGGATCTTGGAAAATAAAATCGCGGCACTCGAGCCCGAGCCAAGTCCCACTACGTCGCTATCGCGTAAAAGTACGGAGACTCGATGGTTCGATGGTATAGTTTAGGATACGTTAATTGTGGACGAAGCTTGTGTCGAGCTCGTGGAATAACCTCGCGTCGCGAAGAATGCAATTTTGCTCGAGCGGTAGTAGATTATTCGATCTGGCGTGAGATAAGGCGATTCGGTTTGTTTTTATCTCTCGTGTCGCCTTGTTTTTCCGAACGGTCATGCAATATTTATCAGACCCTATTCAAATTAGAAACCAGTTTATCATCGAGATCAGCCTACGTTTATACCTTACGCCTCGAGAGCTTAAATTATTTATATTAGCTACCGCCTTCAGCTCCTATACGCGGCGAATGCTTTTCTTATAAAGTCAGAATATTTAAATACTAGCCACTCGTGAGAATGGCCCCCACCGATCCTGACCATAAGAAACCTATAATTCGTACTTCAGGAGTGACGCCTTATGACAGAAGCATGATGGACAACGGGTTAAGCGACCTTTTTCCTTTATTTTCGCGCCGCTAATAACTTTTGACGCGACCCACTTATATTTTCTGTACCACACTCGAGGTGAGTTACTTTATGTATAAGTGGGCACGCGCGTATGCATGAATACGCGCTTACATACGCGTGTGTACGTATACAGTGCAAATACGTAATTAGCAAAATTCTGGTCTTCCCCACGTCGCTCATACGCTATGTGTTTAACATTATTTTGAGCAAAGGTCTTGGAAATTGGTATTTCATATGCCGACACCAATGCCGAACGAATAGATTTTTTAATGCGTTTTTTCATTTTGTTTTATGACAATGTTGTAATAAGGATAGGATAATCTTTTGCATATGTAGAGGAGAGTTGGCCCAGCCTTGTTTAAATTCTTAATTAGCCACGCGCCAAAGTGTAAGCATTGATTTTATCGATGCAATTACCAATTGATCCTGACATTCACGTACCTGATTATTAAATCAACTTGCAATGCTGCAAGGCACTGACTCATTAACTCTTTCTCCCCCCCCCCCACCTCTATAAGCTCTCCATAAGAACTATATGCCCAGATAATTTTTAGTATATAGTTTACCCTTAAGCCGCCTGCACGTTTGCTCGTTTAAATCGTTGATTGTGTGTCTGTGTATTGAGATGTGGCTGTGTGCCAATAGCCGACACAAAAAGGACAAATTTCAAATTTCTCCACGACCTCAAGAGAAGGTGAGTCGCGAATCGGAAAACTTACTCGCTCAAGGGTCACTGGGCAGTCCTTATTAATTTCACGGATCAATGACCCCCCCCCTACCCCTCCACCGCCCCTACCGTGAAAATTTCTTTAATTTACCGGGACACATTTCCCCTGAACTATAGTCGCTCGCTCGCAAATTACATGGATAACGTCGCGGAGGCAAAACTGCGGTTTGCCAATTTTTTTAATCGTCTCGCAGCATGCGGTCCCGACTAAATAATAATACATCATTCTCGGTTGCCGTCCCTTAATCTCCCTTCTTTTGTACTTAATACTAATTAGCGTATATTTTATAATCAATAAAATTGAACCTCCTATGCATCCCGTAACGTATTATTTTGATTTTGCTACGAGTATAAATAGCGCGGCATATTACACGCATACGCGAGTATTATTCATGATCGAAGCTTTCGCTCCGACGCAATATATTCAGCATCAATCGCAATATTTCATAATTTCTTCAACGGTAAGGTAAAAATCGGCTCGACTCCGCACGAATATATCCTCTTACCACGCTACGTTTACCGTACGTTCGGCTCCTCCCCCCCCCCTCCCCCCCCCCCCCCCCCCCCCCCCACCCCCCCCCCCCCCCCCCGGCCCCCGGATCCAAATATTATTTTGATTTTGCTACGAGTATAAATAGCGCGGCATATTACACGCATACGCGAGTATTATTCATGATCGAAGCTTTCGCTCCGACGCAATATATTCAGCATCAATCGCAATATTTCATAATTTCTTCAACGGTAAGGTAAAAATCGGCTCGACTCCGCACGAATATATCCTCTTACCACGCTACGTTTACCGTACGTTCGGCTCCTCCCCGCCCCTTCCCCCACCACTCGCCACTCGCCGATACCCCCCCCTCCCCACGTGACACCGGATTCGAATTCTTAATCGGCCACCATCTAATAGCAGGCAAAAATCAGCCGCTCGATCCAAGAGAAGAACAAAGGCCCGAAACGACCAATCTATTATTATATCGCGCAATGTGTATTCTCCTACGCGGATTTACATCCGTACACTCAATGACCGACGCGATCCTGGCAAGAGGAGCTACGTGAGCGGCTTAGCGATGGGGCCGCGATGTAGGCGCCGACTCACGCGGCTCCTTGTCAAAAACGACGACACGTCGGATTTACATAACATAAATATTTTGTTAAATCGTGTAAACGGCCGTGGCGCGATTTCGCCGAACGGCCGCTCTTACCGGAGCACAGAGAAATTTTCAACGACGGGGCCCGGCATTCCGAAAATGGCACGTAACGTACGGCGCTGCCGGTGAACGACCGAAAATTCAGCTCTCGCTCGGTCCGCAGCCTTAATCCTCTTAATCGGACACCCACATTCATCCTTGTCGGGCAGCGTACCTTAAATAGTTTTCACGGCTCGTGGCTTTCGTCCGGAATTTTGCGCTCTTTGTTTCGCTCGGTGCTATTTACCCGCGCTTTTCTCCAGCGACAATGACAGTGGTTTGTTTCCGAGTCGATTACGATGACGACGACGACGACGACGACGACGACGACGACGACAACGAAACTACCGAAGAAGAGAGCGAGAAAAACAACGAGCACATCCGCGTTGATTTATTGTTTTCGATCCGTGCGCAATTATTTCGCTTTCTTAGCTTCGCATTCAAAAAAAGCACTGAAATTTATACGCGATTCGTAGATACTGGTTATGCTCCGGATAGACAAAAAATAAAGGACTTTATCTCGAAATTCCAAGCTCCGTAGGCCTGTGGATAAGTCGGCGATTTAATAAATGATTATAAATTGCTTTTAATCTCTTTTATCCTTTGTCAATCATATAATAGCCCATCCCGCGCATCATAAATATCTTCTACGCTATTTTGTTCATGGCGAAATGAACTTTTTGCAATCTTATTGGAGGAGTGGCCGAGAAATCGGGCGCTGCCTCGCATTAAATACACTTGGCCTTATTAATGAGTTTTGTCGGCAAAAATTAAGCCTCCTGTTGCGCGCGCGCGCGCGCGCACTGCTAAATCCTTTCGATAATACGGAGGAAGAATCGAAGGATGCTCAGGCCACTGTATGGCGGAAAAGCCGATCCCGACGAGACAGACGCGCACGAATTTCCCCGGCGCCGGCTTTACCAACGCGCCTCTCTCACGCGAGCGCCTCGTGCACGTCTGAAAAACTCGTTTGCCCCCTCCTCTTGCACGGGGAGAGCGCCCGAGCAGGCAGAAAGGTCCCCGGGTGCGTTCCTTCTTCTTTATCGCTCCCTCGGACGCCAGTGGCGGCGGCGGTGGCGACGGAGATGGCAACGGTGGCGGTGGCGGTGACGGTAGCGGTGGCGGCGGCCTTGCCAGATCCCCCCGCGTTTGTTGACCTTGCGCTCGAACGAACGAGTGGGCGATCCGAGTCTCATCCCCGGGTGACGTCAGCGATAGGCCGATCGAGGTCGCAGTGCTCCTTATCGCCGAGGTTTCCCCGAGGATAAGGCCCGACTTCTTGGGCGGGGAGTTGCTAATTAACGTGCCGGAATAACCGGGACATACGGGTGCCAACTTTCCTCGCCTTGACTCATTTATCTTGGCGAAAATATCTTACCGGAGACGCCGTTATTTCGCCGGCCGATTGGGCCCAATGATGCAACAAGACTGGCAGTGTCGCTATCGCGATAATTAAACCTCCCGTACTTTCTACGTTCCCTTCTCCTCCTCATGGCTTTCTGATAATGAAGATGAAGACGCATCTTGAGACGAAAGGCTCTTCTTTGTTCTCTTAGGCGCTTAATTTTTGTTGCTGAATGTCTCGTGTTTCGCGAGAGAGAGAGAGAGAGAGAGACTGACTGACTGACGAATGGATATGTGGTGACCAGTTGTTACATTGTAAATAGTATTTCATCAAGGATTAACACCAATGTTAAATCATATATTACCGACCATTTTAAGCTATTTTGTAATTACTTTATTTTAATTAATCCTGATACTTTTATAGAGGCACACAATCAAAAGCACTTACTAACGATTAAACATTATTTTATTTTACTTTAACAACTAGTTCGTCACGTATAAAATAAAAATCATTGATTAACGAGCATATAATTGAATAGAACTTAAAACAACTTAAAAAAAAAAAAACTTTAAATAATTGCTTTATTTAATTTTTTTTAACTTCCTTAAAATGTGCCTTGGGACATATTTTATTTTGAACAAAAAATATTTTAATATTGTTTAATTCTACGAACGCTATAAGAACTATATTATTCTAGGAAAACAGTCGAATTATTATTATTATTATTATTATTATTATTATTATTATTATTATTATTATTATTATTTATTTTTTCATTGGAATATAGACATTAAATAGTAATTAAATATCTTTATAATTGCACAACAGAATGTTGTATCCATATATCACAAGTATATATTAAAATTCCTTTCGTAAATGCGTAGAAGTATTTTTTTAATGTTACGCTTTTGAAATTTACTGTTAAGTTTAGTTTCAATATTGTAATTAATGTTTAGTTTTCAGTACTGCATTTTTATAAATAAATATTGTTACGTTTATATAGAATATTAAAATTATGAAATATCTTTTATTTCTGTAAGCGGAAACGGCGACGTTGTAAAATGAAAATATTCATTTAGCCTTTTAAACGTTATATATATATATATATAATCTTTATATAATTTCCTTTACGCGTAATGTCTTTATTTCGCTATTTACTTTTATATAATTTCAAACTTACTAAATTTTACGAGTGGCTAATTGTGAATATAAACGAAAAATGAGGCATTACAGGCGATGGTTTACTAGAAAAAACAATCCAAACCATTTATATATAGTTTTATCGTGTATATTTTTATTTAGTTTCGTATCTTATTTGTTTCCAAAATCAGCACCTCATGAAACAGTTATATCAATATTTTTAAATGTGTACAAATGTGTAAAGCTGCAATAAAAAAAACCGTCGTTTAAAACTAATTCAAGTAAGCTGGATTATATGATAAAGTATTTATTTTTACGTTTTATAAAGTAGAATATCAGGTGAATGTGTTTCCAAAGAATTCGTATTTTTCATGTAATGCCGTTTGATAAGTGAAGAGGAGGGCAAAATAATGAATAAAAGTAGCATAGTAAAGTTGGAATTGATAATCGCTGATAAGTCAAAAATTAATTGTAAAGTGAAAATAATCATATAATGGCATTTTACTCTTATAGAAATCAAGTAGGAGAATTAAAATTATTGTAAAAAGCATAATACTAAGTAGTATTTCCTTATAACTATTTATGAGATGATTGTAGCAATTTCTTTGGAAGATATTTCTGAAAATACCAAGTTCATTCGAGCACTCATTCGACTTTCACTGTACAACTGTACACATACAAATGCAAAGTACTTGAATGTCTTTTTGTACCATCGACCTCGTAGGTTGCGCATAATTAATGAAAAGCAACGAAAGGATTTGTTTCCTGGTACAGTTGACAAGTTATAAAAATTATCTTCAATGGAATCAAGGCACACGTAGCGATATTTTACTGGCGGTAATATTTCGTCTCGATTGGTTCATTTTTACGATCATCGATCAGTTTATTGCGTTTTATTTTTAATATTCACAAATTAATATACGTTGCGAATGCGAATTCATCGAAAATTCATAAAAATTGCAATTACAATCGTTATTACTTCTTGGCCGTCAATCGTTTCATAAATCTTTGTTTTTCCATAAATTGTACCGAAGAATTAACAATTAATATCGTTTATTATGTAATGGTGAAAAACAGCAAAGTCCACGTTTTCCGTAAATGTCTCGCACTAGTGCCGTGATTCTTAAGTCTAAGATCCTCCATAATCTGGGCTAATAATCCACCATTTATATTCGCGAATGTGAAATGAAGAAAGGCGAGGGGAGGAACGAGAATCGACGGCGTTCAAACGCGTTCGCTATTTATTAATAACAACGGCGTTAGCACACGACATATTTTAAAAACAAAGTGAATCACTCCGAGATAATTTATTGAGAAAAACTTAATTAACCATCACCTCGGGGAATGAGCGAAGGCTCGCTCGGCTGGTAGGCAAAATGAACGCTAGACTCTCGGTCTCCCAATGTGCACGTCCTCGACGCAAAACGGGTCCTAGTGTTCCTTCTCCTCCCCCGGTACCCTAGCCACCTCATCCTCATTCACCTCTTGCTCCTCTTTCGCTTCTTCATCCTGATCATCATCATCATCACCATCACCACCACCATCACCACCACCACCACCACCACCACCACCACCATCATCATCACCATCATCATCATCATCATCATCATCATCATCATCATAATCACCACCATCATCATCATCATCATCATCATCATCAATAATCAATCATCGTCATCCTCATCAATAAACATCATCATCATCATAATCAATCATCAATCATCGTCATCCTCATCAATCAACAACATCATCATCATCATCATCATCAATCATCAATCATCGTCATCCTCATCAATCAACATCATCATCATCATCCTCATCAATCAACATCATCATCATCATCATCATCATCATCATCATCATCATCATCATCATCATCATCATCATCATCAATATCATCTTTTTAATCTTGATCTTCATCTTCTTCATCCTCTTATCTACCAATTAAACGCCCAGGCCTCATGATGGAGTCGGAGAAAAAGATCTTCGAGATGATGAACAAAAAGGCGGCCATGTCCAAGTATTGGATGCCCCTCGTCTGGGCGACGAACATCATCAACAGGGCGCGCAAGGAGCAGCTGATAACGAGCGACCACGTGGTGCAGACGCTGCTGGTCGAGCTGAGCGACATCCGCAAGAAGCTGGGCGGCCTTATCGGCTACGACACCGTTTGCGTGCCGCTCGTTTATACACAGGTCGACTATTGCTCTTTACACATGTTTATAAATATCCATTGCACTCGCTGCTTCGCTCTCGTTTCGATCGCGACCCACCGAATTGGTCATTTCGCGTTTACAAGTAATCTATCTCCCGAGTACGAGCTCCCATACGACCTAGCCGAATGTCATGGACCTGGGCGCACTCGACAATTAACCCTTTGAGCGCCGGAGCGCCGTTATCGTGTAAATCGGCTCGGAAGTTTTAATTATTTGTTTCGTGTTGGCAGAGGGAAACGATTGGCCCATTGGCAGTCGCTCGTCTGTCGTTTGCCGTTCCGTTTGATATTTAATAATCGTCATCGGGATAATACTTGCAAGAATTTTCCACTAATCTCCTGCACTTGCTTCTTACTTATGTTATTTTATCATTAAGAATTCGTCAAAGAAAATTATGTTTAAATGCAATTGGGAATAACGACGACGGACAAAAGATCTTTCACACAACAATTGTATTTTACATTTTATTTGTATTGCTGAGTACGTGATTAGACTACGTGAAGTAATTGAAATGAACAAGTGGCAAATAGTGATAAGTAATGCGGCTAATGAAATACTTCGCACTGGCAACAATTGAAATTTCAGCCTTTTCAATAAGTTGAAGCGAATACCTTCACATTTCACAAGCAACTTTTAACATGAGCGTATTAATATTCATACGTTGGCTCGAAGAATCGATGATTAATTATCGCATGTAATTCAACATTTTTGAAGAAAATATAATAATGATTTTTCTTATAATAGCAATGACATGCTAGACTCGAGACATTCGATAAGCTTTACATAAGCTTATCGAGTAGTTATTATTGGGTTAAAATTGCATTAGCCAAATCGGAAGTTACGATGTAAATATTTAACAATGTGCTATCTAATACAATTAATAGATCATTTAAATATTCGAAAAATCTTTAATGAAATGCGTGCGATAATACATAATTAATAATACGAGCATCTTCTTTATTTTTCAATGCGTTACACGATAATGAGAATTTTTTAAGTTTTAAATCATACGTTTCAGCATCGATATTTTAAGCGAGGGAAGTTAATTTACGAGGCAAAAATAATTGCATAACGTTATTACAATTAAGGAATTAATTTTTGTTTTTTTTTTTCAAAGAGTTTTAATATTTTTTAAAAATGACAATCCAATTCGAATCTTTCATAATTTAGCGACATGCAAATATTTATTAAAAGGAAAAAAGAAAGAAAAAAAAAAATTTTTTTTAAAGTCTGTCTAATTACTTGTTAATCTTGAAAAAATTAGTTTCCTTTGTCTTAAGAGTCATATAGGATAGCAAAGGATGCATCCCTACATACTTCATAATTCAGTGGTAGAATAACAATTGAAAATCTTGGCATTTTTGCATTATTGCAATGCATTGTTATATATGACTCAGAGGTTACACATTCATATATATATATATATATATATATATATATATATGTATATGCATATACAAAAAAAGTTGTTATCAAAGACTTATAAACCGACTGGAGTAGCTTTCTTGAAATTTAATAGTAAGCAAAAAAGAAATTCAGTCGTTACTCTATCGCACCGACACCTATTTACTAATTCTATTAAAGTAATCGATACCATCTAAGCGCTGCAGCTGCTGCGCCTACTCTCAGATCGATGATATGTTCCTGCGCATTATTGATTTAGTACCATTGTTTTTCGGAAAAGCCTTGACTTTTTATACACGTGTATGCAATAACAAGCAGCCAGATCGAATTTAAAGATACAGTCTCACATGTGCGCGAGGCGAATTACTTTTACGTAATATTCGTTGCATAATATGCATTCCTCAAAAAAACGGTACTCACCGAGACACAAAAGTGAAGAATGCACATTATTACGCTTGAGCCCTGGGCTTACCTGTTTACCATTTTTTTTCTTTCTCCTTACCTTCGTTCTCTCTCTCTCTCTCTCTCTCTCTCTCTCTCTCTCTCTCTCTCTCTCTCTGTACATCTCTCCCTCCCTCCCGCTCTCCCAAGCCTCCCTCGCTCGACTCTTCATTACGCGCGTGCTGTTTGTCGTGTTTAAAGCGCCAAGGAACATATGAGCGAACTGCCAAATGCTAATTTCGTTTCGTTTGACATAATGGCGCTGGCGAAGGTGTGTTGGAAAGAGCCGTGCATTGATGGCCGTGATGGTGTGTGTGTATATGATTTCAGGTGGTTACACTATCTCTCTACGCATATTTTTTCTCGGCTCTTTTAGGACGTCAGTTTATATCTCAGACTGAGGCTTGCGTCAGTGGAAAATACGAGGTCCCGGATATGTATTTTCCATTCTTTACCGCTCTGCAGGTATGCCACCAAGAGTCAATTTTATTTTATAATCGTGTGTATAATCAGAAGTGGAGCACAAAACGTGGATGCTTTCAAAATATAAATACGTCAACATCCGCAGATGATGATTAAGCGCACTTTTTTTCTTTGCTAAATTTCGACTAGTGCGGTCGAGTCACTTTTGATTTTATCGACGTCATCGTATTGTTCCTTCCTCTCTTGCTCTTTTAAATATTTATTTGAAAATAACATTTCAGGTCGGTAACTTCAAACCGAAACTTCCATTCATCGGCGATCTATTATTTTTTTCTTTTCTCGGTTTTCAAAGATATTACGAAAGGGAATAGGACGCTTAAGATGAATAAATTCCCGCAATATCATACACATACATATATATTTGAATTTGAAATCTTTTATTAATGCAAATTGTCTCGATATAAGTAAAAAAGTATTTAAAACAATTTTTTTTTTTTTTTTTTTTTTTTTTTTTTTTTTTAATCGATTTAATTAAATGCAATTGTCGATGTCTTCTCCCGCATTAAATGTTCTGCAATTTTTTATTTATTCTGAATTTAAAAGTACAATTCAGATATAAGTTGACACATCGATACGATAATAATTATAAAATTGCATTTTATAATGAAACAGATTAAGGATTAAAATTTATCATAATTTTTTTATTAGACGTATATTATACGTATTTATTAGACGTATAATTATTAGTACTCTTAATCGTAATTTTGTTTTTCTTTTTAATTCGTATTCTATCCAAATTTTTACCTTGTTCTTTTCCTTAAATTATTGCTTTTTAATTCATAAATATTAATTTCGTATCCTTGCAAACAACAATCATTTTAAAAATAATAAGAGTTACTGTATTGGTAAGAAAAAATTTTCATATGCTCATTGATCGGTATAAGGTTCATTCTTCGTAGGATTTTTTATGTTATTTATATTCTTAGAGGATGGACATTAATAACAAAAATAAGTAATAATCTACGTTCAACGATTACAGTTTTGTTTTTACGTCGGCTGGTTAAAAGTAGCCGAAGTTTTAATAAATCCTTTTGGAGAAGATGATGACGATATCGAACTCAATTGGCTGATCGACCGTCACATAAAGGTATGTGCGCAATTTGCACGGTGAAAAAATTGTATAAATCATTTCGAATCAAATCGCAAAGTCTGTCAAATATACAAAATCTTATTTATCATTTAATTTTATATAAATAGGCAACTTTTTTTGAGATCGCCACAACGATACAATGATAAAACTATGTAGTTAATTATACGAATTACAGCTTTCCCTTCGGTTTTTTGTCCTATCATGATAACAATAAACAACTGATTAAATATATTATTATGACGATTAAAAGATCTTATTAAAGTGAACTTTTGTAAAAATGAAATTCAATGCGCAAACATTCTCTACCTGAATTTTAGTAGATAAATGGCATCTTGCACAGCATAATTTGCTTAAATCATCGATGTGTAATAAATGAAATACGGAATGACAAATTAATGTACCCGGGTACAAACGGTAAATTTTCTCATCCCAAAGCACATGACTGTCCGAATTAAGAAATTAAGAGCAACATCCACGAGTACAGTCTCAACACTGGCTATAACGGTTCCGAAAATCATGACGTGCGTGTAGCGTCAGTTGTACGCGATAACGTTAAAATCGGTCATGTTACCGTCGACCCCCAGTCACTTAAAACCACATTAATCAGAACGTCGTCGCGTTGGCATTAAAAATCACAGGCTGGCTACATGATCGTGGACGAGATGCACGAGGAGCACCCGGAGCTGCTAAAGGACCAATACTGGGACGAGGTCGTGCCCAAGGATCTCCCTTATACGGTCGCGAGCGAACAGTACCGGAAGGAAGAGCCCAAGGGCTCGGCCGAGCACTACAAGGTCAAGGATAGTGACGCACTCTACGCCAACGTCTTCCTGGGCTCGCACGTGCACGGCCACAACGGGCACCGGACCAGCAAAGCCGCCCACATGCAAGACGACGTCTACGCCGATTACGTGAGTACTCCCTCGCACTCCTGTCCCCGGATGAATCTCTCGCCTTTCGCCTCTCATCTCGACACGGTTCTCCCTCTCTCTCTAGCTATCCATCTATCTATATATCGGTCTATACATTTATCTATCTCGATCGCGACCTATTGTTGATTTGCAGTCTATGCCATGCTAATATCTCCGCCGCATTGGTCGAGCGGCGTGCAATACTCGTCCATTTGTTCCTCGCTAATGTCTCTCCGTAATGGCCTTGAATATAATGTTTCTCCCGATGTAGGAAAGCGTGGACACGCCTCTGGTGGAGAGGAGAAAGAATTGGCTGCAACGCCAGATAACGAGGATGGGCTCGGTACGGAGCAGTTCCACGACCTACAGCAGCAGCGGCGCCGGCGGCTTTTTTTCTCGCAATCGTCACAATAGCGTCTACAGCAGCCCGGAGACGGCTCAGGCGGGTAACGCCATGTCACAGACACAGAACAATCCCAGCTTCAAGATATCTCTTTACGACCGGCTGAGGCGAAAGAGCATTCAGAGCCAACGCATGGGTCGACAAGGTAATTTTCTTCTGCTCACCCAATCCTAAGGTCCCAATGGAATAACTACCGTAGCTCCCCGTTGTAATATTGTACCGAGTCTCGTTCCTATCCACGTCGTACCCTCGCCCACGTCTACTCATGAAAGCCTATGGCTATCACCACTACTACCAATACTACATACAATTCACGCGCATTAAGAAGATCGTCGTTAGTCCGGCGCCTCTCTTCTTAAGAACTGCTGCCATTAGGAGGATCAGCCGAAGGAGCGCGAAACCGACGCTTCCCCCAGTGACGCAATGACCTTGGCGGCAGCCAATACCATAAATACGAGCGCACGATTAATGCGCGCATACGCTTCTTCAAAGCGACAAAAATCCAACTAAATGGAAAACCCGTGTGCGTAGGTACATTGCCGAAGCTGAATTCCATACCGATATCTCTGAAGAACCGGCCGCGGATTCCAACGCCGGACGTGACGAAGGAGGTGGTCGACCGGGAGCAGCGGCTCGCCCTCTCGGCGACCAATACCGCGAGCATCGGTGCAGGCGTCATTGGCATGATACCGCCCCCGGCTTACCACCACAACAACGCCGGGAATATCGCGGACGTGCCGGTGCTCCAACTCGTCGTCGGCAGCAGCACCACCGCACCGGGACTTGTCCTCACGCCCATTCAAGGTACGTTGTCCTGGAACATCCAGAGCGTAGCCTTTGTAGAAAACGAGGCAAAATATTGTATGACCATTGAAAAACGCCTAATTTAACATAGCGATTAATTAAAATTACGTTTTCCTTAAATGCTCATTCCATTTGACTTACTTCACGTGAATAGCATTAACTAATAAAAAAAAAATGGTTTATATATCAGAGACTCTGTCGAGGCTCTCTGATCTAATTTTCATAGTAAAAATCGCAATTAAAAAACTTTATTTGTCGTAATGAGCGTGCGAAGGAAGTAAAATGCATTCACCAACAAACTCATTACTTTATTTACAATATGGCATAAAAAAAGCTGTCTAAATTTAGAGTTCTTAAGGAGGTTGCTGCATAAAACGATAAAAAGTTGAACCACTTAAAATTCTTACATATTGCGCATTTATTACATTAATGGTCGTTACGTTTTTAAATATGCAGGAAAATGTAAGGTTTGAGGCAGTGCTCGAGACACTCGTTTCATAATACATGAACATACACGAGTAAATTACGTCCATTAAAAGCTGGAGACTGTGTTTAAAAGTCCATTAAATGCACTATTTTTAGACCTAATTTTCTCAGATGTAACTTTCAAAATAAATGGCGCGTAGAAAGAATATTCGATCAAATCGATCATTATATTAATAATTTTTTAAAATCAATTTTTAATTTCTATTTTACACGAGCTTTGTTCGAGCAGCCAAGAAACGAGCTATACCTTATCCACCTTTAATAGTTCCCCGAAGTAATTTAAAACTATAGCTCTTTTAACGTGCTGAATCGTTAAACGCTAAATGTCTGAGCATTAATCCCGATGAAAAAGAAAAAGAGAAATACGAATAACCAGGTCAGACTCGGGGAACGGGGAACGTCACATTCATCGACGGCTTAAGAGAAGTGTAGAAACACCTTCTCAAACGCATTACCCTCCCAGCATCACCTTGACTAAAGCTCGAATGCCCTTGACTCCCGCAGAGAAGACGGAAGGCACGCCGGTGTCGAGGCCAACTGCAGCGGCTGCCCATTTAGCCCAGGCGGTGCTGCCCCAAAGTCTCAAGGCCGCGAGTTTCGTGACGGTATCGCCACAGGCACTCCCAGTAACGATGGGTCAACTGACGCGACTCGTATCTGGCATTGCAACGAACTCGACACCAGGACACCATCACCAGCAGCATCATCATCACCAACAACAACAGCAGCAACAGCAACAGCAACAGCAACAGCAACAGCAACAGCAACAGCAACAGCAACAGCAACAGCAACAGCAACAGCAACAGCAACAGCAACAGCAACAGCAACAGCAACAGCAACAGCAACAGCAACAGCAACAGCAACAGCAACAGCAACAGCAACAGCAGCAGCAGCAGCAGCAATCGATCGGCGCCCCACCGAGTCCCCACGAGCCCACGACCCTCACGGAACTTCTTGAGGACGACACGAAGGATGAGGCTAAACATCCGCCTCCTCCTCCTCCTCCTCCACCTCATCATCATCATTATCATCATCATAATCATCAACAGCAGCAGCAACAGCAGCAGCAACAACCACCTACTCACGAGGTCTACAGCACGAGGTCGCCTATCGTCGTCGACCCCGAGAACCTCGATAAGTTCGCCAGCTTCTCGCCCAATCATCGCGACTGGGTAGGAACCAACTCCTTTTTATATTCCCTGTAGGCCAACTGCGATTTACTAGTTTCTTTTGGATTTTTAATGGCTCGGCAGTTTCGAATGAGTGCGCGCGAAAATACTGTTTCCGATTTGACACGTGTAATATTGAAATATTTTTTTATTTTAAACACCTTGCGGATATTTGCGACTTTCAGGACAATTAAAGAAATTATTTCACGTACTTAAATAATCGGTCGCGAGCATACGAAAAATGTAACGTTATATAAAATGATGACATACAGAAAATTTAGTATTTCAAGATTATTACTCTGAGTTGGCGATTTTGCATAATGCGTGAATTAATCGATGTTTTACAACATCCGGTTACAAATACAATTAAATTAAACGAATAAATTCTGTTCCTATTCCTAATGAAATGGACGATAAGTTATGGGCCGAATCGATTTATAATATATTTAATATCTAATGCTACTTTTCTCACGATATGCAAAAAAATTAAAAGCAAATCCTCGAAATCGAATCGTCGACTGAAACGGTCATACGTTTTTTTTTTTTTTTTTTTTTTTTTTTTTTTTTAATTTATTTTAAATAAGGCATATAAAAGATTTATTTAAAAAAATTTCTATTCTCAACTGATTATGTAATATATTTTATGCTTTGTTTGCTATTGAATAAAGCAGCAATAATGCCATTCTTTGAGAATGTGTAGTTGTGATAAACTCGAAGAAGTTAAATAAACTCAATGATATTAAATAATAATACATTTTTTCGTAATTGTATAACATTAATATTATACTCTTTTAATTGTTGTTTCAAATTCAAGTTCCTAGAATGTTATACAAAATATTGAAGAAATAATTATTAATAATCACTAGAGATTAATAATCACCCATCGACAAACAATTTTTTTTTTTATTATAATAAGATTATATTGCGTAAATTACCACGATTAAATTATTCTCATTATCGTTATTATTGTTTTTCTTTTTACTAAATTATGCAAATAAGGAAAATAATTTAAACTTAATATATCAGGTAAAGCAAAAAATGGTACAAGGTAAATTGATTCCTTTTTTTCAGTTTGTGAACCGCGATGAAAATTAATCAGAGACTATCGTATTAAAATAAAAATAAAAAATAATAAAAAAAAAAATCATTGAACGTACAATGAATAAAGATAAATATCATTTTTCATTATTAAATATTTAAACTTAATCCTATATTGGACTAGATTGACGTCATACAGAAATAATCTCTGGTTATTTCAAAATTCTAAACTTTATAGGTTTATTTGACGAAGACATAATTTATAAAATTGATAAATCTTGCGATAGATGATACATCCATAAGTGACTTTCTTGCACTTCTTTTTGAATAGGAAACGAAAATATTCAAAGTAATATTTTATTCATAATTAGATGTCATATTTTCACTGAGTCACAGCATTATGCATGACTTACAGTCATTAAGAGAATTGTATAAACATATTATGATTTCTCATATCGCACTATGTTTGATTATTAATCATTAATAGAGAATATTCTTTAAAGGAAACTTTATTACAAATACATAATTCATCATTACGGGCTGAAAATTCGAGTTGGAACAGATATATAAATAAATAAATAAAAATATTATTATAAAAAAATTTAATTAAAGATAGAAATATAAATATAACGTGGATAAAGCGTCCTAAGATTATAATAAACGTTCATCTGCGAATGAGGAGCCGGCACAACAAATCGTTATTTTCGGGTATCCTCGAGAGTCCTCCAAAAACTCGCAGGCTCCACTCAAAAGATCCCTAAATTAATGTTCCCACTCGACAAAACGAGTTCTTAGCGCAAATAAAAGATTCGATCTCGAGTGACGTGAAGCGACAGTAAAACTGAAATATGCCCCACCCCCTCCACAGAGTCTACAGAACTACGTGATGCAAGCGACGGATCACAGAGCGACGCGATCCGAAGCAAAGGGCCGGCGCTCGACGTCCCTCCCAGGACCACCGGTGACGGTAATAAGCCACCAGGTACGCGAGGACCGCAGCATGTCCCTGCCCCACTCGCTCGGCCTTCATCATCAGGCGGAGATGAAAGTAGACCCCGCGACGCCGAGGCTCGAGAGCCTCTGCGTGGAGAGGCTGCAGCCGCCCGTGCAAAGGCCAAGAAGTGGCAGCTTCGACCAGACGGCGAGGAAGAGCGCGGAGGAGGTGTTAAGGAAGATCAGCTTCAGCGGCAATGGGGCCACGGGCACGGGGAACGCACCCGTGGCCAGTAGCAAACGCGGCGAGGTATACGTCTGACGATCGCTCATCTCCTACGGCTTCGTCTACTCCCTTCTTCGTCCTTCGCACTGCTGTCTGGTATTCACGACTCTTAGCCCACGGAGCCGGATTATGCAGCTCTCGGTGGAGTGGATTTCGTGCCCGACAAGCTGCTGCGGCGAATAGCGATTAGTAGAAAGTCAATGGGGAGTAACTCTTATTCAAATTCGTAACTATGTGTGACATTGATGCTTGCGAATTTTCCTGCTGTATGGTTGTTGATCAAATCAGCAGTCAATGGCAGTTAGAATGCAATTTTCCTTTTCATTTTTTTTTTCTTGATTGATTCTTTTGTTTATCAACGAAATTGGTATTGCGCTCAGTTACGCTTGTATTATTCTGATTTAACAGTTAAGAATTGTTATATCATATCAGTTCTTCAAAGAACGATATTTTTTAATGGAATAAGTAAATAGAAAGTAATGATATTATTTTCTACTAGTTTTCTTTCTTTTTTTTTTTTTTTTTTGTTTTGTTTTTCTTGGCTTAAATTTAGTCGGAAAATCACTAGTATTAACGGATAATTGACAAAAAATATTATGAGTCGTCGCAACATCCTTTTTTTCTTTTTTTTCTTTTTTTTTATCAATTTGTTTCTATCAATAAATGCACGTATTTAATAAAGAGAGAAAATACTCGCTTTATTTTGATTCTAAATTCTATATTACAATGATATTTTCACGGCAAAAAAATTCATCTTCGATATAATTATATATATATATATATATATATATATATATATGCGTGTATGTATGTATGTATGTATGTATGTACGCATGTATGTATGCATGTATGCATGCATGTATGTATGCACCTATGTATATGTGTACGACAAGGGCATCATACGTCGCATGTGTAAATTAGTAAGTTGGATGAATAAATTTTCACATGGGTTATTTATGCGAATTAATTGATGTGAGTTGCTTGGGAATGGATTAATTGAAATAATCGACTTAACTGAGAAAACATGAATCCTCTTTATCCATACATAGAACTGAAGAATAGAACTAAAGGTTAGAATGACTCGGTGACTTGAATTGACTTGAAGGCGAATGTTATTAAAGTTCAAAGAAATATTTAATGAAATTACGACGAACTATTTTCCGTTCATCGAATCAATGTAAAAAGTATATATAGGAAATTAATCACATGACAGAACTTTTAGAAAAAATTTAATTTTTGTAAATTTATACTTGTCATTCAGTACTTGATACGAATAAATTAAATTTAAATGCAAAATAGCGCGATTGATGATACGCGAGGTCTCATTAATTTTTAGCAATGTTTCAAGTATTGTTAGATATAATGAAAAGGAAATAAAATTTTCGAATTTTCGATAAGATAATCAAAAAAGATGAAGAAAAAAGTATTATTTTAAATATTGTCAAATCATATTCGAATTTATATTATACCATCTTTATTATATGGATATTACATGAAAAAGGAAGCTGTTTTTTTTTTTTTTTTTTTAATAGTTTAAACGTTCTCTTTATAAATATATTAATAGTTCGTCATTTTCGTAAAATATATGTAAATTATATTACGTATCGTTTCGTAAGAGTGAAAATAGTGATTAAGTCATATAATAAAATACTGTTTTGACTCATCACTAATGTTATATATAATGTTACTTTCGCTTTGGAAAGCGCAAGAAAAGCATTACTTCGTCGTTCTCTTGCGTCTAAAATCGTATGAACTTTGCTAAATGTGAATGAGACGTTTTATTCTCCTAAATAATTATACTTTGCGACTAATTAATTTCCTATACGTATAAATTATTCGTAGTTATTAATAAGAGGAGTGATTTAAATATGAAAGTTTAAAAAAAGAAAAAAAACTTTTATAAACTGAATGTTGCTTTTAAATCATTCGTTTACAAAATTAAAGATCTTTTATTTTATGAATAAAAATAACAATTTAATAAAGTTACCTAACATTTTTATTACTTAATTTTTATACAATTTTATTAGCTAAATTTCTATTGAGAAAGGACATTTGCCGCGATGTAATAATCAATTTTTAGTTAAATGATGGGGCTGAAAGTGTATCTATGTTACTGGTTTGATACTATTCATGCCGTCATTATGCCAGTAGCGCTCTAGTACTGATCGGTTTGAAGATTAATGTAAGAGACATTAATTATTATTATTATTATTATTATTATTATTATTATTATTGTTTATTTTTATTATTATTATTTTTATTATTTTTTAATGCAAAAATCACGATTATCGCCGTGATTTATGTTATTAGCTAACGGAGGAAGCGTGTGTGTACAGTGTTTTCATGCGCCGAATGAACGCTCAGTGATATGTCACGGAGTAATTAGTATATTGAACAAAAATTTATATTATTAAACGATAAATAATTTAACTATATCTTCCCAAGCGACAATATACCGTCCTACATTTGTGATGTTCGATATTATTGTTATTTGATAGTTTCGTAATGAAACAATATTCATGGCTATAATATTAATAGAAATTTAAATATAATAAGGATGATAATTATTGTAATAAATTTTTTATAAATAGGAGGGTAATTACGTCGCATGAAGTGAGCGTAAACTATGCAGTCTGTGTTTAATTGGATAATGTGGATTGTGGATCGCGGAAATTATTTGCCTTCAATTGTATATCACACATGTACTTTTTTCATATCTAGGTACGCGGTGACACACACTTACAAGTTTCGTATTAAAATATGATTCAGTCATAGGTCATGTTTTTTTTTTGTTTTTTTTTTGTTTGTTTTTTTTTTTTTTTATTGACAATGAATTATTAGTATTGTTTGTCTTAGTTACAGACGATTAAGTTATAAAAAGATCGGAAAAAACAAACCGGCCTATCTTATGTAAATAAGTTTGATATACTATTAACCCGATTAGCGAACGAATGTTATTGCCATACTTTTACAAGATTCTTCGTTCGGCGCAAATATATGTATATTGGAGTATCGAATTCTTTTTATACTCGTCAATTTAACCGAGATTATGATTTTCTTCTTATTATTTTTGGATGCTAGAAAACGAATATGAACGGATATGTGCAATTTTTCTATGGGGCCATACTCGCCATACTCATTTGTATTTTTTGTGTAACGATGTTATAAACTAAAATGTTAGGGCAATATAAATGAATGTGAAAAAAAAAAACTTTGCACTTCCAAGACGATTGTTAAGTTTGTAGTTTCAATGATTAAGCTGTGGTTAGCATGTCGTGGGTAAATGTAAACGACAATCACACATGTAACATTCTTTCTGATACAGGAAATGTGTAGATATTATTTAGTAATCAAGTCAAAGGATTCACTTAATATTATTAGTTATGCAAAAATGATACATTTAAAAGAAAGTACATTTTGTGTATGGCAATATAAAAATAATATAATTCTTACTTGAATTGTATATAATTTGAGTTATAATTAACATACATTTATTAAGTAATATGATATTTACGGTAACAAATATTTTTAAGACGAATATTATTATCAATGATAATTTGTCATTATAAAAGTTTCCGTAAGTATTTTAAAAACAGTAAATCATTTAATTATTACAAATGTATGCAAGTTTTTTTAATTACAAAGAAAGTATAAGTGTTTAGTAGAAAATTTATGCACATGTAGATATTACACATGGAACATTATAGTAAAATCATTTTTGTTACCTTTCATTATAGACTCATGATAAAAATCAACTAGCAGTTAAGCATGTAGAGGTAATATGATGAATTTTAATCGCATACCTGAAGCGTTTGTAAATATAAATCAATAGTTCATACAAATATCTATAGCATTGTTGTGTAAAGTAAATAAATAATAAGTAAATAAATAAATAAATAATAAATAAATAAATAAATGAATTAGATAAAAATGTATTATGGTATTTAAGCAAATAAATTAAATATATGGGCCTATAAAGAACTAATTACTTTTATTGCAATAGTATTAGTATTAATTTAATGTTATTTACAATGGCGGAATAATTGTAAGTACAATTTCAATGCTAAATAAAGATTTGCGAATTCAATAGCTCCTTGTTTGCATTTTTTTTTTTTTTTTTTTTTTTTTTTTTAAACTTTTTTGTCAAACTTAATTCGAATATATAATGGAGCGAACACGTTATTTTAAATAATACCAATTGATAAAATATCAAAATGATTTATTCTTTATAATATATCAGTACAGTATCGTACATTGCACACACATGCCTTAGCAACATACCGTATTCGTCAGAAGTGATAATTGTACTTCTGAATTAATGTTGCCGATACACAACGCTTATTAACACTGAGCGGTCACAATTTTCAACTACAAGTAAAAAATACATTAATTAGTAATATAACGAATGACGTCCATCGCTAGAAAAAAATATAAAATAAATATTTTTGCAATCTTACCTAAACGTAAATACCAACCCACAGTAACAGAAATAAGACCCCAAATCCTGAAAATAATGCCGCCACTAGAGAAATCAATAATTCTTTAAATATATCTCGAGTAAACTTTGTACTGGTAACTTCGTAGACAAAAAACCAAGCTGTGAAGAAGATTCCAATGCCCAATAAAATAAGTGCTAGAAGTGGAAATACTGTTGGGTTGATTGGTGAAATATATCTTGTCATATTCTCAATTTCCAACTGAGCAAAAAAAAAAATTGGTCAAATTTGAAAAATAATTTATTGAAAGAGAAAGTCGACATTTGACAATGATAAGATCGTTATCATGTCCATAGATTTAATAAATCTTCAACAGTAAAAAACCGTTTAAACGATTGAAGTGCAAATCGAATTTATATTGGAATATCATAATAAATTAATTCTTACCGTCATTTTGATGTGACTGTTGATGTTGACGTGGCCGGGGAAGTAACCTCAAACTTATGCTTTAAGCAACCGGAGTATTTCCGCGTTCTCCTTCTCTACAATACACACGATAAAATTCATCAGCAGTTGAGCAAAATAACTAGTGATCTATATCGGTATTAGGTGCATCATCATACAGACAATTCGGTTAAAGTACACTTACTTTATTGACAGTAACAATACGCCTTCGTTAAGTGATACTATAGACTTGATTGTGTGTGTTCTCACTCTGTCTACATGCCACGATATGCGCACCAACGTACACACGCGCCAATGCGAATGTGTCCTTACTGGTCAGCGTGGGTGTTTGCATTGCACTTGGTATTGCGCGAACTGCTTACTTGAACTTGCGATGACGTCAGCAACGCAGTCATTTGCCATCCGTTAGCCTCATCATTCGTATTCATTCATCTCGGTCGTACATTTTCCCTGGCTTTCGATGAAAATTCGAATTTTTTTCTTTATGTTTTTCGTCAAAATTTACAGCAAACAGTATGTTCTTACTAATGTGACGACTAATCAGCTGTAGGTAAGAAGCGTTCGCCACAAACATTGAAACTTAGATAAAGTAAAAATAATTTTTAAAACGATGATAAATCCAGTATCGCCTAATAATGCTTATACGCAGCCAAGTACAAGCTATTGCGGTTTAAATCGCCAAACCCGTACATTTATAATTCCAAATTAAAAGTATGAAGCAAAGTACTTAAGGACGTCTTGTAAGGATTCATATTTTCGAACGTTAATGCCACCACAAAAAATGGCGCTGTCTTCCAACTGTGAATCGGTGAGTACTGTGAGGATTGAGGATCCTCAGCAAAAGAGATTTGTACATGAGAATAGGTCGTAAAAAAATGAGAATCTCTCTCTGTCTTGTTTGTATGACTATTCTTATATATAGCGGAACGAGCGAGATAAAGTAATAGAGTGTATGTGCTATATGGCTGTGTGCTGTGATATCTGGCTTTATTATTGCGGGAGGTACGCGGAGGTTTTACTGTCATTTTCACGCATCCGCGAGGATCCCACGAGTGCTGCTGTCTCGCATAAACGTCGCGCCAACTAGTCCCGGACGATTCGCAACAGTTGGATTCCTTGAGAAAAACAGGAGATTCACCCACGGGCGGATAAACGTACGTGAACATACAATTTAGTTAATAAGACTTGGAGTGTGTGCGTCGCGCGCCAGACTTATTCAGTCTCTCTCTCTCTCTCTCCCTTTCTCTCCCTCCCCCTCTCCCCCTCCCTTCCTCCCTCTCTCTCTCTCTCTCTCTCTCTCTCTCTCTCTTTCCCGTCATCCCGTCATATCTATCTCGGGGGAAGTTTCTTTCGTCTCGCAAAGCGTTTTATCCTTTCTATTTCCCTTTCCGCGATGATGCATCTGCGCGAGCCCACCCCCCGATCCTATGTGATATCGTATCGCTCGCATCGTCTAGAAATTATTGCTGGATTTCGCTGAACATCTCGCGTGATTCATACGATTCTGTCTGCCTTAATTCATTACACCTCTGTCTTTCGTAGTATTTCTTTTCTTTCTCAAACACGAGTGGTTATTATTAGATGCTTTATAGATTACTGGGAGAGTCGCGAAGAGTTTGGGAATGTTCTTTTATCGCTTATAATCAGCCTTAGTGAGTCGCGATTGCTGAAAAGTATATTTATGTTTGAAATTTAGAAAGAATTCATTTAATACATTTAATGGAGTTGGGTTTGACTTTTTGATTCAATGATGCAATGTTTCATTTATGAAAATTGCTTTCTGCTATTTTTAGAAGTCTGTGAGAGCTTCGAATTAACAAGAAGACCAATAATTGTATTAAAAATATTATAAAGATGTCAAAGTTCAATAAAGGAACGTTGTTAATGAAAGCAGCGAGGATACCCTCAAATGAGTAAGAAAACAAATCATTTTGCTACCTAACCTTTTTTTCATATAATTTCTAAAAATCAAACGTTAAATTAACAAATTTATCCATTACGCTTTACAGCCAAAATTTTGCAATATTATGGTTTGACGCAGTACCAACATAAACTGTAGTCAACAGTATTACGATATTTTTATCGTATTAATATGGATTCTCCACCATCTTACTCACTAAGTATAACTGGACCGCTGAGCGATATTGCCAGTAGCGGTATTGGAGTCTCCATATCTAGTGACTCTGTTCGAGCCCAATTTGCAACTACAGAGGTTCGATTTATTATATACGAATTGAAATGAAAAGCCTTACTATTTCAAAGATTATTTATAGTTGGAAAATTTTGTACTACCATAGCCCAGACCAAAATATCATTGATTATTGACAATTGCAAACAATCGATCAATATAATATTCATATTTATAAAACTAATGTAATTGAAAATATAAATCTGTAATTAAGACATTTGCAACAGGTAGAAATTGTATATACTAATTAATTAAAGTCAGTGATTCGGTAGCTATAATCTTGGACTCTGGATCTGGATTTATGTTCTGTTATCAGGTAAATCATTAGAATTTGTATATACTGAACAAATTATTCAGTATTTTAAACGCACTTACCTATTTTTTTAATTTTAGTTATTCAAAATCCATTTGAAACTGTAAAGTCCAATATTATAAACTATATAGTCTAGTTATAAAGTTCAATAATAGTACTGTTATATTGTAGAATGGTTTGATAGAAGATTTCAAATATAGCACGAGCGTTAATTTTTTCATCCATTTTCTTAAATGTAAAAAGTGCCAAACTTCAGTACGATAATACTTTGCATTTATTTAAAATAAACATTGAAATAAATGTATTTTCATAAAAAATGACAAGTATTTATAGCTTTTTTCTAGTAACATACTATTTTATAAAGGATATTATCATTTGTGAATATTATATTTATTACATTCATGAATAATTGCATATAAATATTATAATCATAACTTTGAATAGTTTAAAAATTTAATTTTACAATAAGCATTAACAATAATTAGTTAAAAATATTTTAAGTATTTAAAATAGCATCGGAACAATGAATAATATTAATAACATATTGATATAACATTTTAGCTACAGGAAAGCGATATGGAGAGTAAATCTTTATCGCAAGATTCGTTTGATTATTCGGATGGTATGCACGGTGAGAATTTTAATACATTGAAAAAAGGGCCTACTTGGACAGATGTTCTGTCCGCTGCTGCTGCAACAGTGGCAGAGCAAAGAAAATTAGAAGTAGTCGATATCGCTATCAAACCTCCACCAGAATTTCAAGACAGCCCATCGCCACCTGACACTTCCACTTCGTCTTTAGAACCACTGTCTATGGATACCAAAACTGTTTTAAGCGTCAGAAGGAGAGTCGCATATCCCTGTATTCGAGAGTTCGCGGAAAGTTTAGTTGAAACAATAGTGGAAGAGGCCTTGGCCATGTCGTGTAGAATATCTTGGCCCGATGGAAAGATAACTTTAAAGCCTACAAAACACACTCCTAATACAGAAGCAATGCACATAAATTGCAATAATCGAATTAATAAAAAGTAAGTTCACACAAAGAAATTAAGTGGCTACAATTTTTATAAATTGTTTAACAGTTTTCATATAGGAAAGTACCGATTTTTAATTTGTATTTGTCAACATTCGGTGATTCAACTTTATCTAGTCTATCAAAAAATATCTTTTGCAATTATTAATGATGCAATTATTAATTTGATAATTTCACCGTTCGCAAATTAAAAATTATTATATATAAATAATAATAAATAATAATATATATAAATAAGTAATTAATAAATTAAATTTATTATTCATACAGCGGATTAAATATACGATAATAATTTTTTTGCGTAGCAGTTCAACGCGAGTGTGGATGTCGGATTACATGACGTCCTCTTCGCCGGGGCTGGCTACTGCCGGCTATCAGGGTACGATAACTATTACGCCTTTTAGTACGCTTAATCGTCCAAATTCACGCTCGTCGCTCGCCTCGTCACGGCTTTCGAGCTCCCACAATTCCATCAATACAACCGGTTTGAGCAACAAAGCCGACGACAGTAGCTTTATCACCTCGGCAATGTCGCACGACATTCTCACAACCAGTCAAATAAGCGACATGTACAACGTACCCTTCGACTCGGATATCTACACGGTGCCCATCGACATGGTACGACCTCTTCATCACGAACTCAGGACACCCCAGCGACCGAAACGCCACAAGCATCATCGCAAAAGGAGACGGAATACCTCGGCGAGCTCTCAAAGCGAACTAGACTTTCACATGCAGCATCAACAGGCGAGACATTATTGCGGGGGGATCCTGAATAAGCCGAGGACCATAAGTCACGTGGCCAAGTCGCAAAAGATGCTGGCGGACGTTTGCTGTAGCGATGTCAATGCTGCGACAGCATCCGCTAATGCGACCGTCAATGGTGCCTGTGGTAATTTCTTAGCCCGATATTTTCTCATTTATCCTGGAAATGCTGATAATTCCTGTAGGATTGATGTAGAATCTATGTAATGTCTTAAGAACGGGTAACATTATTGGCTAATCAGTTTATAAAATAGAATAAGAATAGAATGCTTTTTAATTATATTCGACAATTATATATGTAAAGTACATGGCAATTTTGTTAAAAATTGCATATTAATCGTTACTCCATTTAACTGGTAATTATTATTGTATAAAGCAAGTTCTGGTCGTAATTAAATGAAAGATTACTTGAGTCAATTTTGTCAAAAGTCCAATATCTTATAATAAAATTATCGATCTTGTAAGGTACAAATGGTAAGAGGCACAGCGTAGTTGGCAGCTCGTTAACGGTTGTCACAGCAGCTGCCCAGAGTCGCCAGCAACAGCAGCAGCAACAGCAACAACAACAGCAGCAACAACAGCAGCAGCAGCATCACAGGCAATTAACGAAATCGTCGAATAGTCAGGTTAGAAATATCGGCGAGCCTATCCATATGACGCTGCACGAAGTGAGACAGTACCTGCAAACTCTGTACTCGTCCGGTTCGAGCGAGAGCTGCAGCGAGGTGAAAATGAAGCGCGACAAAATGGCAAAGATGTTGCCCCAGCAGAGTATCGGCCAACTCGCGGCAATGCCCAAACTCCTCAATTTGAACAACAACAACAAATACAGCAATCCCCTGAATACGGAATCCTCAACAACGAACACGCCTATATCGAACAAGAGTAGCAACGGCCTCATACAGCAATCGATAACCTTAACCAATATAAATAACAATAATAATAACAATAACAATGGTAGTAGTAATACGAAGAAGCATAAGAAGAACTCGCTTTCCACCCTCAAGCACAAAAAAGTGAAAGACGAGCAGATGCAGCGAGGGGACGACCTGAGAGCGTTGGACGGGGGGATGGATAGCAACACCGGAAATAGTAATAGAGAGAAAATAAAGAAGAGTCAGCGCAACTTTTCGCTTAATCTTAAGCAGACTCTTTGCAACATCTTCAGGTTTGTTTCAGGCATATGTGCTGCGCAGATAATAATTAGCCATAGTAGTTTAGCCAGTAGTATTTATAATTTAGCTAATAGTATTTATAACTATGATAGCTTTACATTGTTCTTTTGTAATGGCGATCGGTCTGTTGCATATGCCGAGAATAATTTGTTAGGTAAATACGTAAGCCATCGAATATTTAGTCAAATGTTTTACCATAATTTTATTAATGATCCGTAAAATTTCCATGCACATAATTAATACATGTATAATCATAAGAAGGTGGCTATTATAACTATAAAGAGTTATTTAAGAAGTTTCTCGCCATGTTTATTTAGAACGCCAATCGGTGTTTTTAATTCAGACTGAATGCAAATATATTTTAGACATAATAACGAGATTATTAATAAAGAAGTCGGGTGTGCGCTTAATTAAAAAACATCTTATATGCATTTATTTCGAACTGCAGGTTCAGAAAGATCGGCTCACCGGAGCATCAATTTGTCACGAAGCGGAATAACGTGATGCAGCAACAGCATCAGCCAGTAGCTGATGTTATAGTCCAGGACGAAGACGACCTTGTGGCGGATTACGAGCAGCATCCGTCTCAGCAAGTAAACAATAATAACGGCATTTCATTGAGCGGTGACTTCGATAACGTGGAGAACGCGACGACGACGGCGATGACGACGACGACGACGACGACGACCGGGACGACGGCCCAGAAGTTGCCTTTCTTTAAGCGCGCCTTGCCCCCGTTGCCCAAGACTGTGAGCAACGGACACATTGAGGCCACGAGCGAGAGCCTCGCCAATGACGGCGTCATCGTAAACGGGACCCTCGGCGCACTACCCAGATGCGAATCGCCCGTGAATTCCATGCATCAAGTGCCGCAGCCGAGGTCTCATCAACAAGCGGTGCCGACGGAAAATGTCGACGAGCCACTCAACGAGGATACCAGCATGGACTTTGCAGCTAGCATAGAGAAGGTCAAAGATGTGAGTGGAATTACTCAATAGGTTTTAATAATGATTTTATGACAATTCACATTAATATTAAAAAGGTGCACCCGTCATATTAAAATTACACTATACACCTATAGAATTCAAACCACATATTCAAAATATAATCTGCATAATTTTTAAATTACAAAAAAAATATATAAAAATATATATAAAATGCGATGCAAGCAATTATAACGACAGCAGCAGCAATAATAGCAACAACAATAATAACAATAGCAAAAATAACAATTAGAATACGACTTTGTATTTGAATAGTGATTAATTTAATGAGTTTGAAAACGACGAATACCATTAACGATATTTAATTGTGCTCTATTATTATGATATTTAATATGAATACCAATTCATAATTGCAAAACGTGTTACATTACATACATATTCATTTTTGAAGTTGAGAAAAAGATTCTGAAATTTTATTGTGCAATAGCCTTAAAGAAACGAAGAATTCAATTTAGAAAAAATTACAATACTGTATTTGTATTTCTGTTAAAGCTTGTAATTACTTTTGTATAATTATAATTTATCTTTACACGCGCTTGTGCATAAAATGATCGTTTTATGTATGTTTCAGTATGGCTGGTATTGGGGTCCCATTAGTGGTGAGGCTGCTGAGAAAATTTTATCCAACGAACCCGACGGATCCTTCATCGTTCGAGACAGCAGTGACGACCATTACATATTTTCATTATCGTTTAGACTTAACAGTTGCGTTCGACACGTTAGAATCGAACACGACCAAGGTAATTATTACTCCATAGATAGTATCCAGTAGATAATTCTGTCGTCAACATAAAATTCATTGAAATAACTTGTGGTGTTGAAATGTTTCATAAACCTATTTTAAGACATATTAATTTACAGCAGAAATTCATTACGCGCATTCGTTACGTATTAATCTGAAAAATTAATTATGTAACTAGAAAAAAAATCAATGAATCAAAAGCCGTTAGAGAATTTCAGTATTGATAACGATTGCAAAGAATGAAAGTCTCTTGATATTAAAAGAGTTTCATAATAATTATAAATTGTAAGATACTATCGTGTGAGAATTGCTTTGATATAAGAAAAAAATAAATAAAAATTGCATGTACGCGTTATGAATTTTGTGGAACAACTTGCTACAGGCAACTTCAGTTTCGGCAGCTGCACCAAGTTCAAGTCACACACGATCGTGGATTTCATCGAGAACGCGGTGGAGCACTCGCGAAGCGGTCGCTACCTCTTCTTCCTCCATCGGCGTCCCGTCCTCGGGCCCATGCGCGTCCAGCTTCTGCATCCGGTCTCGCGCTTCAAGCAGGTTCAAAGCCTCCAGCACACCTGTCGCTTCGTTATTCTGAAGATGGTGCGCAAGGATCTGATATCGACATTGCCACTGCCCCGGCGGCTGATCGATTATCTCAGCGCGCCTCATTATTATAGCGAGCAGTTGGCCTGCGAGCAGGAGGAGCGAGTCGAGTCCCCTGTTAGTTCATCCACTGGTGAGCTCGAGAAGATCTGCTTCACGCCCCAGGGCTTATCGTGAGCGGCGGCGACGAGCGCCTCAACGCGCCTCGGCCACGCCGACCTTCTTACCCCTCAACGTGCATTACTAACGTTACAATGACGATGACACGAATTGTACGATATATTGTAGCGATATTAACGGATGGATGTGCGTAGTTATATATTAGATGAATGGGGATTTGTGCGCGAATGAGCGTAGAGAGAGAGAGAGAGAGAGAGAGAGAGAGAGAGAGAACGAGAGAACGAGAGAACGAGAGAACGAGAGAAGGCGTGTGTGATCTCTCAAGTGGGAGACCATTGCTACTGTGCGGTAGCGCTCGAGAATCGAATGGAGCGTGTGGTTGTTTTTGATAACGGATTTGCTTGAAAGTTGTAGACGTATTTATCAAGAAATATTGTTAATAAATTGGCCGTTACATACTTTTTGTTGAAAATACTTCGAGATTTTGTGAAAATAAGGAGCTCTTGTGTATTCAATATAACGGACTGATTATTCTAAAGTTATAAATACATTAGTAATGATAATCAAACAGAAATGTGTAACAGTCATTCATTATTTCGTGCCTCGCTCGAAGTAATAATTTCTTCTACTCGTTTATGGCTTAATAGTTTTATCTTTCCAATAATATTGTTCAAATACTACGTAATTAGTTAAAGAATTTTAGAATAATTCGTTGTTGAAAGGTGGTTTTGCGAGTGTTGATTTATTGTTTTATAAGGAAACATTTTTTAAATGATTTTCTTATCTATTAATCGTTAAGTAGAAGAAAAAATTAATTTAACAGCAGATTTGAAGTTTTGAACGCTTGCAATATAGTTTATTAAATAATATGCGTTGTTATTTCACTACGATAAAACAAATTAATATAAAACATTATAGAAATATGAAAAATGGATTTGTTAGAATTGTATTGAGTGTAAAAATATATTATTCATCATTAAAATAGCTTTTAATTACAACATATCATATACGTGCACTTTTCCTCAGATGTCTACAAATTTAAGCAATTCCGATCAAAGTGTTTATGAGCGCTACTGTGCATAGGCATAAAGCGACATTTTTCATCGAATCATTTTACTTGTGGAAAGCAACGACGAATTTACTTTCGAATCCCTGCTAACGTTTAATTTTCATATATTTTTACGAGTTTTAGTTATTTTATTTTCTCCGTAACAGATTTTATATTGTTTTACATCATTATCGATTGTTATCAAGAAAAACCTGATTTTTGGTTTATAAGAAATACTATTGTTGTCAATTTTAAATATTATTAATATTATTTTTTATATTATTTGTGTCGTATTCACATTGGAAATATAATGCGAATATTGATTATGTTTTTTTGACAAGTTTTTTTTTTATTGTTAATTATCTTGTGATACGCATAAGATGCAAACGAGATACAAAATTTTAATTGTTTTATGAGAGCAAGATATTAGTGATCTTTTTTATACTCGTATATTATTATGAATTATATGCATAATACGATATTAAATGAATACTGGATTAATGTAATAAGACTCCTGTAAATTCGCGGTTTAGTTTAGTGCGTGGACAAATGACGTACAAGGCAAGCGCACATGTTATAATTCGATCGTGGTGCAAGGCGAATAGAATGAAAAAAAAAAAGAAAAAAAAATAAAAAAAAAAAACAAAAAATAAAAAAAAACAGGTAGCTTACCGAATGAATAGCCGAACTGAAAACACATTTGTATTGCGTTTTAAAGAAAAAATTTTCCTTTTTTCAAGAACCGAGTTGAATAAGAAGGAGCGTCGTAACGGTGATGATTTGAAGAAAGAAAAAAAAATAGTGCAATATTTAATCAATCAATCGTAGAATTTGGAAACAGCGAACGCCCTTGCGCGCCCAACGAGGACAAAGTATACAGTAGTGTAATGTTTGACATACATTTTATAGTCCCCCATATCCCCAATACCTTCGATGAATTGTGTACTAAGTTTGATTCAATCCAATGAATTTCTAGATCTCGTCATTTTTCTACGATGTAGAACTTTTTTTTTTTTTTTTTTTTTTTTACTGTTTAGCTTATTATTATTGTTTGATGCGTGCGTCTAGTGAGTTTTAAAGCCAAAAAGTAAACTGTATATGTAATTTATTTTATGTAAAATTTTACTTTTATTCCGCGCGATATTTACTATGTGTCGGTGCTCCGATATTATAAGCGGCTTACTCTTCAGCATGTAAGAACAATATTGATAAACAAAAAAAAACAAAAAAAAAAACAAAAAAAACCATACGTACTCGCACGCGCCCATAACACGTGCACGCACACAATTTCACATGCATATATATGGTCTGAAAATGTACGAACTTGTTGTTATGTGCGTGTTTAATCAAGTATGCACGCTGCTGTTAGCCCACTGAAATTATTTATTTTAAAATTTGTACCGATATAAAGTATTAAAGAAATATCAATATCTAAAGTTATTTGGGACAAGCTAGTTTCATCATTTTATCGAGATAGTAAGTAAATGTAGATTAAAAAAATTTCGTTTTGAATAACAAGTAATATGTATCTGTGTTTCGATAAAATGATAAACATAAATTATTAAATTAATAAGTGGTAATTAATGATAATTGAAATTGTGATTTGTTTTTACTGTATACCCATGCTGAGTATACGATCTTGCATACGATGTAAATTAATTCATCCTCACGTGTATACATACATGCATGCATACAAACATACGCACAGTAATCAACGTTTATCTACATATAATAAAGATTTCATTAGACGATAAAGATTAAAATGCATTGTAGTATTTAAAGAAAAACATGCACACACGCACGCACACACACGCGCGCGCGCGCGCGCGCATGAACAAAGAGAGCAAGCGAAGACTTTATACGTGATACGCAAAAATAATTTGCGCGGGCATTGTGATTTCGTTTAAAATAAATAAAATTCCGTCTATATTATGAAATGTATTTATTTTTATAATTGATCTATTAATTTAACCTTTATGTTGGAAATAATTTCTGAAACGATTGTAACTAAAAAATTTTTTACAATTTGCTTATTTATTTATAATTTATTAACAACGGTACTTATAAATAAATATGAATGTATATTACACTTTCGTAATCATGCATTTATCACAGGCTATTTGTTCAGGTATCATTATATCATAAGTATATTGTAAGCGCATTCGAGCTTGAATATGTTCCAACATTTTCTTATACGTTTCATGCCAGATGCAACTCTTTGATTCGCTAATAATCCTAAAAGAAGAGAAAAAACTTAATTTAATTTCTATTTACATGTATATTTTTAATACCAATATAGTGGTCTTACCTATTTAAACAACGTAAGAGAATGTAGAGATCTTCGATACGTCGTTTTTTTGGCAGAATTCCAAGATAAGTCGTCAATGTGAGAAAATCAACATTATTTACATCAGAATTATTAAGTATCCATTCTCTTATTTGCACTTTTACCTACAAAAAACATTATTTAAAAATAAAGTCAAACCATATAAGAAAAATTATGTATAAACCATTTAGTGAATAATACTACTTGAGATATTGGAAGTTCAAGGAGACAATTGACGATATTTGTTAACATTTTCGAATGTTCCAAGTTCCCACTCGAAAGGTCAAAGTGAAAACTGTTATTTATAGCTTTAGCTTTAGGTATTTTCTCTGGTTCTTGTACCATCATTTTCTTTGGAGCCACTTCAACTGCCTTCGGTTTACAAGAAGATACAGCATCGTTCTTCTTTTTCTTTCTACCAGCATTATTTATTTTTGGTTTATGCGATTTTAATTTTTCATTTTTATTAGGTTTCTTATCACTTTTAAACATATCCCATCCTTTGTGCACAAAATTCTTAATACGCTTTTCTTCTGATTGTATTTTTCTTTTCTTTCGATTATCGTAATAAGACTTTATTTCATTTTTTATTTCATTGGGCAAAGCTGCTATAAATTCTGGATCAATTTGAGAGAATGATAGATCGCTATCTAGTCTTATACTAGATGTGCTTTTATTTTCACGATTACAATGTTGTTCAATTGTTGTACTCTTCTCTATTGATTTATTACTTTCTTTATATTCATTAAGGATTTCGTTACGAATAGTTTCTGGTAATTCAATTAAAACTTTCATGTCAATTTCATTAATATCTGGAATTTTAATTTTTCCTGCTTTACTATGAGGTTTTATTTGTTTAAAATATTCAGATTGCCTAGTTTGCTTAAGTTGACTGGATAATTTTGAGTTTTGGTCTTCCATAGATGGATTAATCGATTCATTGTCTCTTTCATGTTTATTCTGTAAATTATTTAAATTTTTCTTATTCGATTGCGCTGTATCCTGTTGATTTTCTGTACTTTCGATAATATTATTTGCTTCCAGTGAGTTATGATTGTTATTAATTGCAACTTCTTCGCATCGATCTTTATTTGAATCTTGAAATTTCATTATATCACATTCAACTCTATTCTGTTCATTTATGATATTTACATTTGTCAAACTGTTCATTTTGTGATCTCTCTTATTTTCTGATTTATTTTTATCAATAAACTTTAGAAGTGTTGATCCATGTGATTTATTTTTAGCTTCTAATTTAGTTATTTGTATTCCTATACCTCTTGCATCGGCAGGGTTCTGATTTAACTGATTCCAGAGATGTAAAACTTCTCTATGATAGGGATGTATTTATTAACGACTTATATAATACATTTTATTTTTTAAAATATGTAAAAGTAATTATTAGTCAATATCAATATTTACCTTGTAATTATTACAGGATCATCGGTGGCAGTAAAAAGATTCTTTGATTTATTGATAATGTCACAATGACCATGACCCATGAATTTTTTTGGTTCATTTGGTGCTTCTTTTGCTCGAAACATACCTTTCAAATTTATACTTTTCCCCTTTAAATTGACTTTTTTTAATCTATCGCTAATTTCTAGACTTAATTTTTTTAAAAATTCATGCGCTGCATCAGAATTTTCAAATCGAATGCCATAATTAACTTCTGCCGAAACTGATTTTCTAATATGTTCCAAATTTAATTTATTGTGGTCAATACCACGGCTCATATCGTATAGTTGTTGGCCATTTTTTTTTCCAAATTCTTTTTGTAATTCGTATAGGCTAACAATTTCTAAATCAGCACAGGTTTGAATATTCAGTTGACGCAATTTCTCACTTGTAGCATATCCAACTCCTACAAAATTTCAACAATTTTAGCTGTTTCACTACAGACATCTTATCTTTCTAATTAAATATAATCTTATTTTGACAATTATTTTTAATATACGAATGTTAAAGGAACTTTGCAATTTTAATATAAGAATAAAATTGTTCGTACGGTTCTATCAAAAACTGGAATAAGTATGTTATAATTATTTTATAATACATTTTAATTAATTTTAATTAATAAAAATGTAAGCAAACCTGGTAAATCCTTCACAGATAACGATCTTATGAAAGGTTTAACACAATCTTGTTTTAAATAAAATTGGCCATTAGGCTTAGCTTTTTTAGTTGCTAGTCTTGCTTGCAATTTATTTTCACCAAATCCAGTTGAAACTGGACAGCCAGTCTTTTCCTTAATTTCCTTCCTTATTATGCTAGCAAAATCTAAGGGATTTAAACCACTTATTTGTAAAATTTTTGTACAATCTACATACATCTCATCGCAGCTTACTGCTTCAATATCTAGAGTATAGGAAGCAATTGTATCATATAGAGCATAAGATACTTCTTTGTATCCATTAAAATTGTATTTAATAGTTTTTAAGTTTGGACAAAGTTTTAATGCTTGACCTAGAAGCATGCCATTCTTCACTCCAGCTTGTCTTGCTTCATACGAACAAGAAGCAATTTCTGACATTGAACCACACTCGTTGATATTATTAGGATTGATAGATGCCCTTTGTATATTGCCTTTTGCATGTGCAACGGCAATAGGAAAACCTCTCAATTCAGGATGATCACGAAGACCTACGGATACAAAAAAGCAATCCATATCTATATGCATTATAATTTGAGTTTTCTCTGTTATAGATGGCATAGTTGGATTTATATTAGAAGCACACTGGTTATTATAAAATAAATTGTCATCTGAATCAGAATCGTCGATTCTATTTGATGGATCGGTCTTGGAGGAGTTTCTCGATGACTGCATTTTTAAAGCCATTAAGCCAGGAAAAATTTTATTGTTTTTATCTCTAAGATCATTAATATAATCTTTAAACATTGCTCCCATCGTTGCAATGTGATGCAGGCGAGAATTATTATAAAATTCTGTTAAGAATTCTGGATTTTTGGTACAATTTGAAATGCCTGAGGGTATTTGTTCTTTTGATGTCCCTTGTATCTGAGATTGAATATCCTTGTTAGTGGTTAATTTTGCTGATTCGACATTTTGCTTCGCATCCGAACGAGTATCTGATTTGGTTTTCTTTAACATTTGAGCCACGATCGAAGGTTGACTATCAGTACACTGAGAATATAACAAATATTTTCTAAAGTCAAGAACTTTTCCTGCTTGAATACTATCGGTGATCCATTCTGGCTTACAAAGAGGTAATGGATTTCGTGCTTTTCTGTAAGCAATAATTTTTGAATAAGGCAAATTTGAAGCAATCATATGTGTTGTACCCTTAGAACGCAAATAATGATGATATATTCCACCATGTGACATCATAATACGTTTTAATTCTTCAGCACTAGGATTTGTGTATCCATTAACAAAAATCGCTATCCCATTAAAAAGTGTAGAAACATTTGTGCACTCTTGTTTGGCAGCCTCTTGAAACTGTTCTTCTAATTTACATTTTTTAGCTTCCATATAGTCCCCCTTTATAAAAAGAAACATTATATATTACATTTAGCACTAGATATATTAAAAATAATATTTAGTTTAATACAAATATTGCATAAAGAATATAATTTTAGGTTAGTTATGTATTTTTAATTTTAAATTTTACCCAATCTTTGCAGCAATCGGTCCATGGTACATTTTTCTTCTTTTGAGCCATTGTAGTGTGAATCACTTCCATTTTTTTTTAAACATCTCTATAAATAATAATAGCTTCTATAATTATATGACAAATTCAAATTTAAATGCTCGATGAACCGAAGTGTTTACGAAAGTTCTACCCATCACTGTCATTAGATTACCTATTATCTAGATACAAAATATAGATAGAATTAAATAAAATTTAAATTTCTGAAGATAAATAGATATTATTTTTTTAAGGCAATTGATTTTCACTCCATTGATCGCAGTTAATAAAAAAAATTATTATTATTAATAATATTTATCGATTATATGATAATAGAGAATTAAACATTCTTTAGATTACTAAAATCAATTCCTACTTATTAATTCTTAGAACGATGAAAATTTTACACTACTAATTAAATTTAATTATTTTTTTACAGGCTGTTATAAGTTCTTTATTATAATATAGTGATAATTATAGTATAAATTAATCTATTTATAAATAAAATTTTTAATGTATTTGAAAAGAATGAAAATAATAAAGTAAAAATGTCATTTTTTGAGAATTAGTAAAGTAGAATTACTTTTGTTAATGTAAAGGAAGTTGTGATTTTCAATCACAATATAATTACTTTTTCATTATTTTTTTATTTTTTTTTTTTTTTTTCATTTTCTAAATAGAGATCTGATTTTTCAGAGACAAACTAATGGATGAGAGTTTTACATTTGGTTAATAATAATTTTTTTAAATAATTTTCATTTATATTATTTTTGATTAGATAATCAACTATAGAATCAAAAGTAATAGCTATGAGTGGATGTAACAAAGGTGATACGGTTTCCCATGTCTTTTTATAAAAATTTTATGAAAATATTAAACTTGTTACAGTTATATATAGCAATACAGCATAATGAGATTTTCAAAAAATTAAGAGATACTAAAGAGAAAAAGTATTTATCGTGTCATAAATAATTATCATTTGAATATTTTTAATGATTTCTGTGTATAGCAATAGAAAGGATAGAGAGTAAAGAGTAGTTGTTAATGAGTAATGAGGTGTTGTTGTCGATGATAAATCTTATCAATTGCCTTTACTACCTAAACAAAAACAATTGAATACCCATATTTGCATCGAAATTAAAAATCCTTCACATCATAATTTTGCTCCATTCTTCACATCATGCTTTTTCGCTATCAAAACTGATCAAATTTTTGAGGTAAATCCATAACTATCTTTATTAATTACTAATTCATATTATATCAATAATTAAATAATGAACGTCTCTTTCGAAAACAAAAATTGTAAACGGACGAAATTGTTCAGCTTGATTCGAGGCTGATACGTGTTATTGACTAAATAAAAGAGAACGAAGAACCGTGTCAACGTATCGAAGGTAAAAAGCATGAAGGTACACGTTTTACCTATCTTCCATTGCCATAAGCAAAGTGAGCGTTGCGACCGAATGGTTTAACGATTAAATTGAATTTTCGTAGCAACAACAGAAGCCGGGCACCGTAGATCCAACTTGTGCACTACGTAGCGTTCGCTCGCACGAATCAAATTCCAAATTATCAAATCAAAGCTCTTACAGTTATCGGCGTAATAAGCGTCAGACATTCACAAGGAGTAGTAGCACATGTAAAGTCCCGCTACCCGGCTGCAATACTAGTAAACGAGAAACCTACAAGTCCTTAGAGTCCCTCTTCGACCTTAATAAAGTCTTCCACTTAAGTGTTGATAATTTATCCATTGTCCAACCACCATATGAAGAAAAAACAGAAGATTCTTCGGGCAATTGTGCATCAGAATGTTCATTTAGACAGCCTAAAGATTGTGTAAAGCAGCAGTTAAAGCCAACGTTTCAGGAGATTGAATCACGGGTTAACTTTTAGTAATTTAATCATACGACATTTCAGTTTAGAATAATTTTATACTTAATAATGCGGTGACTTTGTAGGCCGACCAAATAAGCGATTCGAATGAAGAAACCAAATTGAAATTCGATAAATTCGAGAAAATCGAAGATATACCAATCTTATCTGAAATCGAAGAAGACAATACGTCGATGTATGTAGTTTACAGGCATTAATAAATCAAACGATACTATCGCTTTAATTTTCTGTTACAGCATAATGATGGAAAATTTAGAGTCGCCGTACGATAAGAAACATGAAAATGAAAATGAAAGCGACGATTTTGAATGCTGTTCACCGTGCTATAATAAGGAATATAGTGAAAATTCCAACGATGAGAAATCAATTTATGCTCCAGATTACCCGCTATCTCACGAAGCCGGGAAAGGTATGAAAGGATTACGTCTTATTATCAAGCTTAATAAATAATTTATAACTTTTTTTTTCTCCATCTACTCTGTAAGCTTATCATTTAAAATTTTATTATATATTTTTATTGGAGTTTTTAGTTTAGCTATAGTCGAACAGCTGTCGCGATAATATAATAAATTAGCCGAATCGACCTAAAAGATGATAAAAGCATATTTCTTGATGATAATAATTTTATTTTTAACAAATAAGAGATGTCGGTAAAGGAATGTGGGAATAGTGATTCGATGGCAAGTCAGGTTCCCGTATCCGAGTCCTGCGTCATTGAAGACATGATAATAGCCGACGATAGAGCGAAAGTTATTCGATTAGAAATATCGGGTTTAAAAAGAATTATATGTGAATTGCATCAGGTTGGTATGAATTTTAATGATAAAGAAAAAACGATGCATACAATAATATTAAGTTAATTATTATATTCGCGATTGAAAGTTGTTTATTAAGTTTTTATTTATTCGTTTATTTGCTGTTTTTGAATAGAAATGTAAATTGACGGAGGAAGATACGGTCGTCTTAAAGAATGCACAGACATCCGTATTGGAGAAGATTGGTGAACTTAATGAAATAACGCGCAAAATGCAATGCACTATTGGACTTGTCGATCCATCCGACCAGACTCTTACCAAAATGTTCCAAATGCTTCCTTATCCACATACAATGGTGAGCCAAGATTATTAAACGGCAATATGAAAATGAATAAATCTATTCATACTTTCTTGTGCATTAACGATTAGGATCAGGAGAAATGTAAGCCAGAAAAAGTCAAATGTAACGAGGAAATTCTCGAAACACCCCCAGAATGCTCTGAAAAATTTGCCTTTCCTCAAGTGCAATATCCCGAGGACAAGTACAATTATTTTCTTATCAATAAACTTAACATCAAATATTGGAAAAACAACTTGCAACAATAAATAACATATATTCGTAAATGAAACGAATATTCCCTCTATCGATTTTAATACCGAATCATTTTAAAAATGTCACATCGCATAAAATATAATTTCTAATGGTATTAAATGGTAAAACGGGTGATAGAAAATTAGAAATTTAATGCACGAAAGTTTAAATGAAACATTTTTTTTCTTCATAATATAAAAAAAAAATATTTTCATTTGTATTATATGTATGCATGCATGTTTATTCATATAATGTTGAACAGAAGAATGTTTAAAATGGCAAAGACATTTTATAGTTATAATTTTTCCTATTTGATGTTATATTTATAAATAAATTAACGTTTATAAGTTTTCAAAAATGATTTTCAAAATTGATTATATTAATGATTAATTTGAAAGCTTGCCAAGAGTAATCGTTTGCGGTAATACGGAGGAAAATTTCCCGAAAATAGTGGTTGCCGACAGTAGACCAAGAAGTCAAGGAAATAAATGTTTGCAAAATCTGACGGGAAAATTAACGGAATCTCTCTCTATGCAAGAGAAACTGAGCAAAGTCAATGCCGAATTGGAAACTGGAAAGTACGTTTCTAAGCACATAATTTTTTTTTTTTAATTTTAACAATCATTGCTACGAGTAGCAATGTATTATTCACTTTTAAAACGGTTTAAACGGTTTCAAAAGTATTAATTTCTTTAAATGCGCGACGATGCTCTTTTCAATATCAATGGCTCGCTCGTGATTCGTAGTTGCTTACTACATAAATGAAATATTAGTCTGCTATTTTATAATTATCTTGTCTCACGTATACCGCCATTTTAAAAAGAACAAAAAAAAAAAATAAAACAAAAACAAAAATAATAAAAAAAACAACCCCAACATCAACATTGCAATTCTAACATCCAATTGCGTACTCGACGCAGTCTATCGCGCAAAGCCACTCGGCAGGTAACAAATGAAAGCGTTAAAATTGAAGATCCGTTGGTCGCTCGGGCTCAGTTCTTGATAATTATTTCGGTCGTGATGTTCTCGGCGTCGGCAAAATTTATGTAAATCGCAAATCACCTTTTGAGAGCTCAATGCTGATCCTGCTCCCGAGCAGGTCCATGCTCGAGAAACAGTTAATGGAAAAAGACAACGCCTTGGACTGCATCCAGCGGAAGATTTGCGGCCTCCAGGCGGAGATGCGCATGATCGCCAAGGAGAATTTCGAATTGAACGAGAAGGTCGCCTGCTTACAGAAGAGGTCACCCTGCCCGCCGCCGCCTTGCCCGCCGTCTCCCTGTCCGCTGCCTTGTCCCCCACCAAAGCCCGTCTGCCCTCCGCCAAAGCCCGCCTGTCCTCCGCCAAAGCCCGCCTGTCCTCCGCCAAAGCCCGCCTGTCTCCGCCAAAGCCCGCCTGTCAAGCCCGCCTGTCCTCCGCCAAAGCCCGCCTGTCCTCCGCCAAAGCCCGCCTGTCCTCCGCCAAAGCCCGCCTGTCCATCACCAAAGCCCGCCTTTCCGGTAATGGGTTACAATTCGCCACGCACTCCCAGTCCAAATTCCAATAAGTTCTCCAACCAGAACGACTTGTGCAGCTGCGGCAACGATCATTCAAATACTAACGGTTAGTGCATTATCCCATTTTCCGAGAAATTAATATCGTTTGCAACATGTCACTAGACACGTGGGTGACTATATCATCATCTCCGAGTCATTACTCCACTGTTGTTTATATACTATGACACTCGGTAATCATTTCTTTTATTGTATGGTTTTTAAGCGGATTTAAAAATACCGCGAATAAGCTTCGTCGAGATTTTATCAATAAAATTAATACGAGCGCACGATGTTTCATTCTAGAAGGTATGCAATTTTTCAATTATATTCATAAAGCAACGTAAAAGTCTATCGGCACATACGTGAATATTCAGTTCTCAATGGCAGTTTCACGATTAAATTTAAAACAAAAAGAAAAAACAGGACAAAAACAAAACATAACAAAACAAAACAAAAATCGACAATAGTACAAAAAGTACCATTTGTAATGAAAAAGACAAAAAAAAAAAGCACCGTAGATTGGTTCATCGATAATGTTTATAAAAGGCCTATGATGCTTTCGAAGCATGAAAATACTTGTATGTAACATTATTTCCAGCTATTAAGAACTGCAATCACAAATCGTCGCGACTCGGTGGTGGAGCTTCGAGAAGCAACGATTGTTGCCCGTCGAGTCACAAGGAGGCACAGCAAAGGGACGGTACCGGGAACAATTGCCCGAATTCAGCACCTAATCGTGTACAAAGGCCTTGTCCCGCCGAAATGGAAAAAAATTCCAAAAATCTCGTAAGTCGCAGGTGACACATTCTATAAGTATTCTTTAATTTCAGAAGGTCACGTACGACAAAGTGAAAAATTTCTGGTAAGGAATGCTGCGCTTGTCTTAGGATCAAAATATCAATGTTTCTGCAATAGTGTAGCTTGATGCAAACGATAGGCTTCTATACTATTGATCTATCATCGATGAATATCTGTCGTATAGAAATTATTATATTTTATGTATTATATTTTATTGTTATACGAATGTTGCTTTGTGGATATTCGTATTGCTCGATTCGTTCTGTTATTTTGTCGCTTAGCACCTAATAGACTTAATACGTTGAACCAAAGATAATGGGGGAAAAAAAAAATAAATAAATGACAGAATAAGTAACGTAGAGCAAACTAGTGAAAAAAAAGGAAAGTGTTAGGTCGTAAATGCAATAAAGATATTAATATATTTTAATAGGGCGATCAACTCTCGTGCATCGAAAATGAAGTTAACGAATTAACTCACCAGATGATCAATAGGCAACAGGAACAGCAACAATTGGATATGCAGCGAAAATTAGCCGAAAACGTTGGACCATCGATACAGTTTTGCTGTCCGAAATCATTGACGCCGACACATTCACCGCCACAGGTTCACAGAGCCACGAAAAGTTTAATAAAATTTGTAGATCTTATAAACAAACATTTTATCCGAGTTCTTCTTATTCCAGACTAACAATGCAATGTAAAATGATATACTATCATGTTCACTATAATGTTAAATATGTAGATCAAAAGTAATTTATAGCTATTAAATTTCATAACAATTGCATTAAAGTGTCATTATAAATATATATTTCAAATACTGATTTTAATGCAAAAATCTTATCAATCAAAATCTGCACTTAACATACTCTTTTGTAAAGTTTTTAGAGAATTTACAGGATATTTGCGCGAAACATTATTTATATGAAATACGTATTCAAAATAAAAATTTTCCTGCTAATGCCAAAATACTTTCATCAAACATTAAATATAATAAAAATAAATAGTATATATATTTTTATACCGATAAATGTTTTAATAACTATAATACAATTCTAATAAACAAATGAAGAAATTTGAATGAAGAAAAATGAAGAAAAAAATACAATAAAAAGTATTAGCATTATATCGTATTATTTTTATATTATTAATAAAAGTAGTTGAAATATTGTATTGCAGTGATAATACATGCAAAAATGTAATAATAAATTCAAAATTCTTATGCAGATATTGAAATACAATATTATAAATTTATTGAATTTATGTATTATACTGTTTATTGAAATTTCATCGAAAACTACATTGCAGAAACATTTTTTATTAGAAAAATTACATTTATAAGCAGCTCGCTGAATATAAAAATATTTATCATTTAATTAAAGGATTTATTTTAGTATCTAAGAATATTTTGTTTTAAATTTGGATTAATGGCTACTTCTGAAAGTGAGAGGTACGACATGGCTAAATTTATTAAACGGTATTTTTCCATAATTCTCTATGCAAATCATTGCAAATGAATAACGAAAACCATATCGTAACTCCCCCCCCCCCTCCCTCTCCTTCTCTCTCTCTCTCTCTCTCTCTCTCTCTCTTACTACCTCTACATGTAGTCATTGTATTAATTATAAAGACAGTGCTCTTCTTACTCTCGTGCTCACGATACCGTCTTACACGATCGTAGGATCCAAATTCTTGTGCGGCCCAGCAGTTGCGCGATCTCCGAGAGCAGTACGCCCGCCTCCAGGATGACTATAAGAATAAACTGTGCGAGGTATCACGGCTACGTTGTGATTCCGAGGTCCTAAGACGTGAGACACGCGAAGCCAAGGAGGAGCGCGAACGCATCGAAATTAAGCTCGTCGACGTCCAGGAACGTCTGCGGGTTACCGAGTGCGAGCGTAACGAACTCCTCGGTAAGCATTGGACTCGGGAGTGTATTACTCGCGAATTTTACATTAAAGTGGCTAAAGATTATGCGCACATCCACAAAAATTCACCCCAAAAAGCTTTGATGAAGTTTCGGAAAGAGCCGGTCATGTAAAAAAAAAAAAAAAAAAACAAACAAACAAATAAACAAAAAACAACACGAATACATTGGAAATAAATGATAGAAAAAAGGCTTCGATTTTAAAGAAAGAATAAGCATGTCGAGTCAAGTATCTTATCGATACCATTAAAGTATTATTATTATCTCACGCAGGTAGTAAAGAGCAGCTGATAGAGCAGGAGCAGGCGCTTCTCGTCGCTCGTCAGCGCTTCCGAGAAGCTCAGGATGAGCTTGAGGAATTGCGATCTATGATCCGTGACCAAGCGGCACAACTCGATGACTACAGAAATAAGTACCTGCAGGTTCGATTAAATTCTATTATTCTTTCTATCATTATTTTGCATCGATGCATGCTTTTTTCGTGCTCGTCATCAAATTAATCGGCAAAATTGGCTTGCACAGGCGCAACAGCAAGTGGAAGAACAGAAGCACCAAATGGACCTGATGGAAATGGATAACGCGCGAATGAACGAGAACGTCACCTTGGAAATTAATCGTGTGAAGGTAAGTCAATAAACCACGTCGTAGCCAAGTACAATTCTCGTTAAAAAACAAAAAACAAAAAACAATCTATGAATACGGAATGTTCGTCTGTGTAGAACCAGTTCCAAGAGAAGCTCGCTGAACTCGCTCCGCTTTCCGACATTTTGAAGCAAACGCAGATAAAACTGCAGGAAAACCAACAGCTGCGTATGGCGGTGGAGCACAACTGCGAAGACTTGTCGCGCGAGCTCCTCGGCGCCAAAGAGAAAATCGATTGCATGCAAAACCAAATAAACGAGCTCCAGCGCGAGATACAGTCTTTACAAGTGATTATTCTACTTTTACTTTATTTGCGTTATTCGGCGCCAAGCATACGCCCGGACTGGCATTCCGTTTACCCCTAGGACGATAAGAGCGAGAGCTGCATGCTTATCGAGGAGCTGGAGAAGAAGAACGGCGAGATGAGGAACGAGAACGAGCGCATGAAGAACACCGTATGCCGTTTGGAAGAGCAGTTTACTTGTACCCAGAAGCGCCTCGACGAGAAGCAGCACGAGATTGTGCAGCTGAACGCCATGCTAGAGCAGGTATACAAATGTGTTTAATGAGCTTTTAATTCTTGGCGATTCTTTCGAAGTATCGCGTTCGCTCGACGAGACAATCGAGATCGAGGTATGACAAATAGTAGGCTCCATTCTTCCATTCATTACAATACAGATTGTTGGGTCTGTGATTTTACAATTCATTCTTTCATCAACGAATAAATTAGATTAAACAAACAATAAAAAAATTTTCTTGATAAAGATACGGGAGGACTCTGCAAGACAAGTGGCAAGAACGAAAGAAAGGAGCGAGGCTGTAAAGAAAAGTTTGCAGGCTGAAATCAGTGAGTTTGAGATACAATTGGCAATGTGTAGAGCCGCAGCTAAAACGGCGCAAAAGGAGAGGGACGAGGTTGGTTATTGACGTAGTTTGTAGTCTTCGAGGAGTCGAAAAGCCCTACGAAACTAACCCTATTATTATTTTGCCGCAGATAAGGCAGAAGATGCAGGGACAGATATGCAATTTGAACGAAACATTGCAGCAAGCCCAAGGACGAATAAGGTCATTGCAGGGTCACGTTGATTACTTGAAGGTTTCATACAGTAATATCTTTACTAATCAGGGTCAGTGCGATAATCCACCAGTATTGCCCCAAGCTGAACAAACCAATACGGGCTACGATGCTTGCGATTGTAGTTATTAACATGTCGAAAAACAAAAAACAAAACAAAAAAACAAAAAAAAAACAAACAAAAAAAAATTCTAGTGAAACTTTTGAATGTGAACGGTGAAAATTGTCGTCGTTTTTGTCTTGCAATGAAATAATCAGAAAATGAAATTTGATGAAAAAAAAAAAAAATTAATAAAGAATATTAAAAAAATTGAAAACATATAATTCATCTGTTTTATTACATGTAGATACTTAAAAACAAAAAAAAAAAACAAAACAAAAAAAAAATAAAAAAAAAAAACAAAACAAAAAAAAAAGTGTGTCATCGTCTCACTTTTGTAAAGCCACGGACACATTTTTTTTTTCTTTCTTCATTCCATTTAATGTTGTTTTCAATTGGCAATATATATTTATTTGTTACATTTAATAAGTGTGTAAAAGGAACAAAGTCATGCAATCAATGCTGGATTGCCCGTGAGAAAATAAAAAAGTACCTTTTTGCCAACTATTTACAATGAACATTAGAAGTTATAATAGTCATATTAATTAATTAATTATATCGGCGTTACGCAGTGTATTGAGCATTTCGCGCAATGTGTCGGAACGACTGCGCAACTTATCCATTTCAATGCGGAAGAACTCCAGTTGAGCCTCAATCTCAGCTGTTTTATCGCTTCTACTACGACACGATGCACACCTGCAATTAATTGAAATGGAAATAATAATTTGTCGTCAATTTCTTCATAATTAAAACAAAAACAAAAACAAAAAAACAAAAAAAAAGAAGCTATATAATATATAATCAGATGGCTTGAAGCTGTTAATATTTACTTTTCATTAGAACGGAGTGAACATGATTGTTGGCTTGGAGAGCATGCAATTTTCTGTTGTGCGGACGTACTTGGCTCATAAACCGAAGTATTATTGCGCAAGCTTGACTTATTAATGGGAATGGTTGTTCGACAATCGCCACAACCTTTTAATAGATCCATTATAAGTCCTCGAACTTTTTTTCCATTGGATCTTCGTTTTCGGACCTGTATTAAAGAAAAACAAGAATACAGAAAAAACAAAGAGTTCACGGACAAATATATCGATGGCGAATAAATATAATAATACGTCCATCATTTTAAACAACAAACACTACAATTTTTTATCCGTTTAATGTTTAAACCGATTCTTTTTTATCCGTAAATATTGAGACAATGCCGACTTCATTAATTCACTCGGTTAACCGAGATATTATAATAGATATTCTAAATTTTCTTTATTAAATATATTAATAAAAGTATCATAATAAGTCGGAGAACTTGGAGAATTATTTATCAAAATATATTAACAATAGCATTGATTTTACTATATTACACCCCCAAATACTATATTATCCCCCCAAATACTTACATTTATTAATTTACCACTAGAAAATATTTACTTTCTATAGCTATACTTATACTTTTCATTTTCATTATACAGACATTTTACAATTCCCTTTGTGTCCCAATGCGCATGCACGCGTAAACTCATCATATAACTATATATTTCTATAATATTGTTATAAAATAGTTGACTACCTCAGGTGCTTCGGGATTCTGTTTTTGGAAAATTAGCGGATCACTTTCATTTTGAATTACAGATGCTTCGGAGCAACCTCCACCATTATTTTTTCCATTATTCATACATGGTGGGACTAGTTTAGTGTCTGTGCATGAATGCGACGATTTTTCTTGAGGGGAATGACAAGGTTTTGAAGCATTATGCGCGTTTTCTTCAACGTTGGATTCGTTGTCTTCTTCGTCAGTGGGGTTGAAGGAGTGTCGACGAACAAACGATTGGCATCTACAAGATTCTTCTTTGGCTGCATTTCTACAGTGACTATGATGAATGTTGTAGCAACATAACGAGTTGTTTTCTTGATAGATATTGGGCGAGATGTATTGTCGACCATCCGTTGATTTCGATGAATTGCAGCACGTTGATAGAGCTGCACTTCGTCTCGCCATTTTGTGAGCGCATCCGCAATGGTTTTCTTCGACTCTTACCGATGGAGAGCAGCAAGTATGTTGGTTCTCGGTATGTTGTTCACTATGATGACACGAAGGCCAGGAGAGACGATGATTATGCGAGTGACAGCTCTCACAATCTACTATCGTATTGTTAATGTCGCAAGAATGCTGCTTTTGTTGTTGAGAAAATCTTGGCAGTACTCTTGACTTTTTACTTGTTGATGTAGTTGACTGATTATTAAATATACGTGGCGTGCTCTGCCAACGGAAATTCGGTTGTAAGTCCTTCGATCTTGTCGACGTTTCCATCTCCTCGATATTTTGATTGGCGTTGTTTTTACTCAATTCCTTGCCCCATATATTGATAGTGCCATTCATCTCTGTCATATAGACTTCGATGTTTCCCAGAAGGTAGGGTCCGCACTCTCTAACACCTGTTTTATGATTGCTGGTTACTTCTCTAGCTTGAATGAGGAAACTGTGTTCCTTACTTTGATCATCTTCTGGATAGACAAATACTTTCACGTCGTCGTCCGATTCTCGGATGTCGTCGTTGTCGTTCTGTTCACCTTCGACATCAGTATTATTTTCATCATCGACATTTACACAATCATCCTCCGAAGAGTTCATCTTTTGCTTTCCTGATTCCCAATTAGATTTTGAAGTGTGGGGAATTTTAAATGGATGAGCGGAGTTTGAATTTTCTGCACTATCCGTTGCTTTTCGCTTTCTTGAGCCAACCTCGACAAACTGAGGCTTTTCAGTTTCAGCCGAGGCATTCGCTTCAGTTGCTTCCTCGGAAATGGTTTTGGAATATTTGCAACTATACTTATTATCCGACTTTGACTTTCCATGCGTGATGTTCGAAAGGGTTTGTAATATTCGCGACGATGTGACGAATGCTCGAGAGAATGAATTTTTCTGTTTAGAGGGTGTTTTGCTTTGCTGATGCATGCTTTCGTCTGAATTGAGAGCATTCGTTACATTGGGTGGTGGCTCCATGGAAATCGTTGCACTCTCTATGCTATCGGACCACTGTGAGCTGATTGTTGAAATCATGCTGTTTGTAACTAATCTTGGATCGACTTTTTGCTCATTGCTCTTAGAATCGACAACAGCAGTATTAGAGACTAAAACGGGCAGTTCAGTTTGAACCGCTATGACTTTTGTTTCTGGCACTGGTTTTTGCTGTTCTTGATAATAGGTGAGCATTTTTTTCAGATTATCCATCTCCAATTTCATTGACATGTTCTCCGACATTGTTTTTTGAAATGCATCACGTAAATTATCTAGCTGCGAGTTTTTCTTCTCAAGTTGTAGCCTTAGAGATTTTACTTCAAGATTTTCATGATAATTTGTTTCTGTCGACTGATTTACCAATGTTATAGGCTTTTGTATATTGTGATAGATATTGGGCATTTTTTCCTCGTTATTGTAATTTCTTGAGATGTTTTCTATTCGAAGAACACACGCAGAATCAGTGTCGTTGTTATTAGATTTCTCAGTTATGTCCTGCATTACCTCTACGACACCATCATCATGGATCACTTCTTCGTGTATTTCATTATTAATAGTGCCTTTCATATATTCATCGTATGATAACGTACGTAAATTACAAACGGTATTTGATGGACCTTCACCATTTAAAACTGGTTTATCCTCACACCTAAGTATTCCTTTTTTCTCTAAAATGTAATTTTGATTATCATTCATGACACTGCCGTTAATTTTATTAACCTTTTCATCCTTATTATGTATCTCTATATTAATGGGATCCACTTCCATTTCTTCATGATGCATTATTTGCTGGTTATTATCCATTGGATGTCTAGAAAAAATGTGTATTTCGCCATTTTCCAAATTTGGCGGCATAACGTACATTTCATCACTTTCAATTTCCTCATACTTGACTACTTCTTTCAATGTTTTCTCCGTGTAATTCTTAATTGTTTTACAAGTTAAAACTACATCATCGTTTCTATGAATTTGCGTTTCTAAAGGAAAACAAATAATTTCATATTTTCATTATTTTTTCCAAATAATACAGTAGTAATATAGATTTTTATACACAATTAATATCGATAGAATATTTAATCTATTTACCGGTCGCCTCTTGATTTTTGTGTTTTGCTGCTTCTTGCGCCCTTTTACGTCTTTCACCAGATATTCTTCTTTGCTGTGCCATATCCATAATATATTTTTTTACTTTGCTTTCAACATGAGAGTATTGTTTTCCTGGCGTCCGACGATCTTTAGTAAATTGATTTCTCTCGTATCTTGCTTTTTGACTAAAAGGATTTACATTAGTTTTATTTTTCGGTAAACCTTCCTTAATAAGACTTAAATCTTGAAGAGAAGCACTACGTTCTTTATGGCGTTTTGTAAGTCCATTACTATGTCTAAGTACTAAGTCATCAGAGCCACCATCAAAACCATCTACCTCGGAATCGTATTCTTCTACTTCTTCGACTTCCTCCTCCTCCTCCTCTTCCTCCTCGTCTGCCTCCTCTTCATCATCTTCATCATCGGCTCTTCTTATATTTCTCACATTTCGTCTGTCTACAACGATAATTATTAATTAAACCACGCTGTTTTATTTTTATTTAATATAAAAACTCATGAGCATGAAATACAAACTGTAATTAAATGAAAAACAAAAAAATTAAAAAAAAGAAAACAAAGAAAAGACAAATAATTTTCAACTAATTCATTCATAAGCATAATGCATCTTTATTTCAAAATTATCTATCAAAAGTACTTCTATTTACCATGATTGTCACTATAATGATCTCTGTCCATTTCTTCACTTTCATCATCATCTCGATAGGAAGAACTTTCATCATCTTCATCAAAAGACAACCCATCCGCATCTCCATCTACATCTCTGTCAACGTCTCCATCATCGTCTTCATCATCATCATCAATAACACATACACTATCACTGTCGTTATCGTCTTCTTTTCTAGAAGGTGAGTTCACACTGTTTGTCTCTGCAGAGACAAGATTTTTCTCCTCGTCATTTTTCATATCGTTCTCTGATTCGTCTATTTTAGAGAGACTGGAAATAGTTACCATTGATGGCATTTCTTCATCTTCAATCCCTTTAGAAGACATATTGTTCAAAGGCAACTTCATTGATATTTGTGTTTCTTCCTAAAAAAATGTTTAACTTTGAAAGCTGTTTTTTTATAATTTATTTATTTAATATTAGAAGAATTGGATTAAACATAAAATTTACTTGCTAGATGCTTAAATGAAATATAAATAAAATTAAATTTAACATAATATTAATCAAAATAAAATTATAAATAAATAAACGCAATTGCAATTTACAAATACATAATTACGTTATTATTAATAAAACAAGTAACTTAATTATTTGTTTATCAAGATTATTATTATCTTAATTATGCGCATAGCTATATACAACTATATAATTATAGTGCATTAAATTTTATTAATAACGTCAGGTCTACGATTATAGAATATGTATTTTTAAAATTTTTGAAGAAATCTTGTAAGGGAATTAAGCACTATCTTATATAGAATAAATATTTAAATTACAAAAAATTCAGTTAACGGTAATTTGTATGGATAATTTATGAAATTACAATTTACTAGTACTATATATAGTAAGGAACAAAGTGCTTATGAATTCAAACTTATTTACAGGAAATATTAATTTGTTCTCTACATTAGAGAAACGAGGTCTCAATTTATATTAATTTAAGCAACGACCAATTGTTATGCCACCTTCCACAGATGAATGACATAAGTATTAAGCTTATTCATTACTTGTGTAAGTGTGAAGGTAAATGGAAACATGGACAGGCAGGAAAAAACCAGACGGCTTTGGTCACTTTATCTCATCATCAATCACATTCACTCATTATCAATAACTTATAAAAGCCAATCAATGTTCTAACCAAAGTTTGAATCTGATCTTTCTCCTTCCCATCTAGCTTTTTTTGCCCGCATTCTTGTTCTTTTTCCTCCTGCTGTTCTTGCTGCTTTTGTTCCCGCATGCTATCGTCATCATCGTCGTCGTCGTCGTCATCATCGTCGACGTCGTCGTCGTCTCCGTCGTCATTATCGTCGTCGCCGTCGCCGTCGCCGTCGCCTTCGCCTTCGCCTTCGCCTTCGCCTTCGCCTTCGCCTTCGCCTTCGCCTTCGCCATCGTCACCATCGTCGTCGTTATCGTCGTCATTGATGCCAGCGATGGCCCCGACGTCGGTGGACTCAATTTTCTCAGCGAGTTGATCCCGTTTATCGGGCTCCTGCTCCCGCTGCTCGAATCCGACCGCGACTTCCACGGTGTCGATAGCCGGCTCCGCCGACTCTGACATTACGACCACCGACTCTGTAAAACACACGACCTCCAAAGGATTCAGGAGTCGATGCCGCCCCGGGTGCGCGATACCAACGACAACACCGGTATCCTAGAAGCCCGTTGGCGGTGGCCCGCCATTAACTGCTGCAGACCTTATTGGTCCTTCTCTCTCGCACCCGTGATAATTCACCGCCTATGAATAAAGCACAGACGTAGAGAAAAGGCTGACGGGCACTTGAGGGGCTCGCCTCAGGCGACACCCGGTGCGCCACTCCCTACCCCCGCGAGTGACTGTCTATGAAGACCGTGGTGGTAGCCGCTGATATCACGAACTCGAATTTTCTTCAATGGATCAATGGCCTCTTGGCGGTGGCGGCGGCGGCGGTGGTGGCGGCGGTGGAGGTGGCGGTGGCGACGGCGGCGGCAGCGGCAGCTGCAGCGGTGGTGGCGACGGTGACGGTGACGGTGATGGTGATGGTGATGGTGACGGTGGCGGTAGCTTTGACGGTGGCGGTGACGGTGGGGGTGGCGGTGGCGACAGCGACGGCGGCGGCGGGGGCTTATGTTACCGCAACTCTAATAATCAGCGATCGTACGATCCATGGCTTTATATCGCAAGCATATATATTAGCGAGACACGGCTGATTTGGCAGATCGAGCGATTATTCGGGCCTCGGATACCCGAACGCACGGCCACGACTTTCTTAGGTAAAATGCGGGAAAAGTTAGGACAGGCACTATTGTCGTTACTGGGAAATAACGTAACACCTTGTCGTCGTGTCCGTCGCGGTCGTGTTTCACTTTTTCCACGTTTCCTCGAGGAGATCTCGGCGAGTCGCGTATGCGCGTCCACAAGATCTATTGGGGGGAGATAACGGCGGACGGAGAAACTGGCGGAACGGCGAACCGCGCAGGTTTTTACGAAGATTCGTCCGAGCCGTTGTGGGCTGCGCTCCCTCCGAGTAAATAGTGATCCAAGAGATTTGATAAGCGGCTTTAATAAGTCGTTGGCCGATCTAGTATCGTGGCTATTTAATCGTTGATTAGAGCTTGAAATTGGGTTGGGAAGGAAGGATATCATGACCGAGTGTAGCGATAAACTCCCATTGACCATCGAGTTCGGGTAAATTGACACGTTGGGTTTCTAACCTAACACGCGCATAAATTAATTTTTATCCAATATTTTCTTTTCGGGCAGAAGCGCTTTCGATATGTCGTATCGTTAAGATTATGTTTTAAATTAACTGACTACTATGCATTTAAATTACGTAGCGCGATGTTTGTTTAATAATTATTGTTTTTTTTTTAATACAGAGGCGGGGTTGAATTATTATTATATGATAAGATCAAGAAACACAATATTTCCTTACCTGGCGATCGAATATGTAAGAGCTTAATCTTGTTTATAATATACGCTCTTGTTAAAATTGTCTTTTTTCCTTCTTTTTCTTTTTCTTTTTTTTTTCTTTTATAAAATGCTTATTCCAGGGACACTTGGCGATCTTGTTCTGTGGTTGAAAAATAATATGATAAAGGAAAGATGCGAATTGTTCATCCAAAATGATACCGTGTAAGTATTTAATTTTTTTCTACACGCCGATATTTATAATGCCAAATCATAGGCTTTTAATTTTAATTTGTCGATAATATTGATCCTGTCGTGGTTATTGAAGTATGGCTCACTTTATTGCTATTGCGGGAAAATTCTTTTAAATTATATTAGCATTTAGTCACATGCATAATACTTATTTATACTTACGTTATTGATCCGCGCTCAATTGTAATATCCGGAAACGTAAATAAAACTCTCCTGCCGTCCCAAAACAAAAATATGTTTGTTATGAAGTATTCATTATTGTATTCGTTGAATAACACACAGATGGAGCCATGTTAATCTTTTAAGTCGCTTCATTGGCGTATGCTGGCATTGCGAAACTAAGCGGAGAACATTATTCTTATCATAATTTAAGTCAGCTCTTGTCATGGCATTTATTATTGTAAAAAAATGCATGTTATATAAGTGTAATGACAGATATTACTATTGTAACAATACGTAATGAATCAATGAAATAAAAAGTGAACTGGCACATCGCCAGATTCGTGTTTATAGTGTTCGATATTATAACCGTCAGTCGATTCTAAAATTCGCCGTTAGATGGCGATATTATTATAACGAAAAAATTGCATTAATTTGCTCTGTCGATTACGTGTACTTGAAATTTCTTTTCATAGGAGGCCTGGAATCCTCGTGCTGGTGAATGATGCTGATTGGGAACTTCTGGTAAATTATCTATTTACTTATATTAATAAAAATATATAATTGGCTAAGACAGATCTTGTCAGATTTTCTATCTGCGTGAATAATTTTCTGCATGAAATCATGAAGCCACCCACGACAGATAAATTAGGGATGAAAATTTCAAGCGTTATCCGTTAAAATTTGAAAATTGAACGAACGTATCAATGCTAGTAGAATCTATACGTATTTGTTGAATACGTTCGATTTGTATATTCAAAAATTTTAAATGGAAATAGTTAATAGCATATACATTTCAGTGCACGAACATTATTGAAATATCGAATCACATGAAATATTCAATTTGAATTATGTTCAATTACTAATTATAATCATAAAAGTAAAAAAAAATCTAATAAAAACCATACATAATGTGCTTTAATTTTTATCCCTAAAGCTTCTTTCAAAAGTTTTTCCTCTTCAAAATATCTACTTTTTTGGGTATATGTGTTTAAAGAACGACATCATTACTCTTATCTATTTATGACTATTAGTGTTTTGTCATAGAACGTGCATTTTATAAACATTTTATATTGCTTTTATACATCTGGGAGAGGCGAAGAAAGTAAAAGTATTAATAATTCTAAACAAGTAAATGGGAATGGGGTAACGGGGAGGTCATTTCAAAAAACAAAAGCAGCAAACAGTTTTATGGAAGACCGCCGATGAATTATGCAAGTGACATGTAATGTTAAAGAGAAGTTACGGTCATGCTACAGATAATATTGAGATTTTATAGTTGATTATTTTAAAACATGAAATAATGTAATGCTTACTAATTTATATTTTGACTTACTAAACTATTGGCTTTGTATAGTAGATGCTATATTGTTTATAGTATTAATAAATGTTATGATTGTAATTCAACTAAATGTTGACGAAATGTTTTGGTTAAAGTCCTCAAATGACAAACACAATCAATCCATTAATAATCATAGAATATCAAATATACTTATGGAATAAGTATTATTTGTAAACATTTGAAATAATCATAAGTTAATTAAATATTACCTTGCGCATTGTCGTGAAATAAAGAGTTGCGCAGCCGAGTCCTTCGTTTTAAGCTGCCAGTAAAAATATTCATATTTTAGAACTTTTTACGAACTTATAAATGTATATTGCGGTATACATTGTGTACGCGGAGTCATAATGCGTCAGCTATAATCGCGATGTTTAGCTGATACTTGTTCGCAGGTAAAAATACCTTACGTGTCTGAACTTGTAAATCATATAAGATTTGTCTGGAAATGTAAATAATGACCGAATGAAAAATGAAATGACGGTGCATACGTGATGTTGTTATTTTAATCTAATAAAAGAAAAAACTATGCACCTATCTATAGAAGATAAGTAAATAATAAATATTAATACTTACAATAGATAGAGATTACCGATTTTTGTTTAAACGAATATCATGTAGAGAACGAGGTAAGAAATCGAATATTTTGTTAAATTATGGATCATCTGCGTGTAACGAAATTTAAATATTAATATTATTTGATATTACAATGAAATGCGCACTTAAGCAAAAAGATTGTATATTGCATTAGCTAAAACATGATATTATTAGGTTGCTTTTAGACATATTTAACAGTTTCGTTAGAAGATGTTTATTTTGAAAAATTTTGTTCTTAAGGTGATTATATTTTTTCAAAATAAAACGAAATAATGATAATTTGTGGGGAAAAAAGGTTACTTAAATATTCTCACGTATTTCAAATACTTAATTAATGAATGTTAGAAGTAGTACGATATACGTACGGGAGTTTTATTCAATTTAATAAAAGTGATATTGATGACGAAGTTTGTGTTACAAATAATTCACTTTATTTGTTTTATAGTGTCAGAATGCTGAGAAGTTGGTATTACGACAATTTACGAAATATAACATAATAAACATCTTATTGTGGCATATTTCTGGCATTTATGTATTTTTAGCCTTTTTTAGCGAATTAAACAATTTTTTAAACTTTCAGTCGTTCATTTTTGAATATGACAAAAGTGTACAAACAAAAAAAAAAGAGTTCAGTTCGCCAATATTCCCTTAGGATTAAAGATTGTTGAAACAAACTTATGCGTTTAATAATAGCCAGAGAACGTAAATTAAAAATTTAGCGCTACAGTAAATTATTTTAATTACTTTTTTGAGAATTTTCGACCAGAGAAAATTATTAACACCGACTTTCAATGGGTTCTTTTTTTTTTCTATTTTATAGAAGTTTCGCATAAGGATAAACGGATTCTTGAAACTCTTTTTTTTTTTTTTTTCTTTTTTTAAACAAAAGTCTTGCACTAGTGTAACATTTATTCTTATTTAAAAATTTCTGAAATCTCATTTTATTCTAAAGTCATAACAAATGCAGTCCTTAGTTCGTTCTTTATTCGACTAAGATAATTGGGAGCAGGAAGCATTTATAATTCTTATCAATATTACATTTACGCGCATTCTTTTAGGATAATAGTTTGTCAAGTTCTTCAGTTGCCAGTAAATAATCTACCATTAATTTTTGAAGCGCTCGCACCAACAATTTTTGCTAAGCTCTTGCGTCTCAGCTTCTCAAGTGTATTAATTATCTTAATTGTATTAAGATCTTGAAAATGAAGCATCTAGCAGTTGGTTTCTTAATGTCGCGCTTCGTAGTTCATATTTTATGGACTTTCGGCGACTTTGGTAATGATGGGCCAAGTACAATAAACTCTTCTTCCACATTTATACATACAAATTGCCCACATCGTCGTAAAACAGATAATGTTAAAAACTAATTAACCGAGGGTCGTCAAGCGCTCAAAAGTATAAACTTTAATGTCGGTGTCTGATGGACGTTAATCAGTTTAAAATAAAGCTGTTGGGCAGTTAACGAAGCCCTCGGTGAATTTCAATACGAAGAGGCATCAAGTGTTCAAGGGGCTGACTCTCCCTTATAATTTGCCATCCGAATGAAAGAAGCGCTCGCTCAAAGCGAAAAACCGAGTTTCTCATTGTCGGGGTGTGTGTTTGCAGGGCCAGACCAAGTACGTGCTGCAGCCCCACGACTCGGTGCTGTTTATCTCAACTCTGCACGGCGGCTAATGCTTCACAAGTGCCAGGGAAAAAAGCCGTCGTTTTAACGGCTGCCAAAGCCACGGTGGACATGAGAATGTATAAAGTGTCGTTGTCACGTATCTCAAAAGCAGGATGATTCGACGCCATAATAAACGTATGTATGCCGATGGGTGCGCGCATAAATGCACACACACGCGGACGGACTGATGCACTTACCTTAACCCCCGTTACGGAGGTTTCGCTCAATACGATATTCTAATCTTATTTTTACCCTTCATATACTTAAATACACTGGATAAATCTGTAATTTTATAATGAAATCTGATATTCGTGCTTTATCATATTACTATGTTTATTCCGTAATGTTTTTGCACCTTAGGTATTTAGGTCACTTTTTATAATGGACAGCTGCAGATGATCGTTGCGATTTTCTCTTTACTAATAAGCTTATGTTATTTAAATTAATTATAATGTAAATTAAGAGCGTATAGTGTGAGATAATTTTCATAGAAAATAATATGTATAATTATATATTTAAGTTAAATGTAATAGTTTTTATTAAATTTATAAGCAATGTTACTTATTAAAGTATTTTTAAATAATTCACCATGTATTTGCCTATTTTAGCTCATAATTATTTATTTCAGATGTAAATTATACATTTTTTTTTCTTCAAAATTTATAAAAACAGATATTGGTATATTTAAGCTTGGAATTAATTAACATTTTTATATTCAAAAAATCATTATTCACTTTTTCTAAATAATTTCTAATTAAATAATTTTGATAACTTTACATTTTTATACGAGAAATTTATACAATTTTATAGTATTATCGTGCTGCACGAGGAAATTGACATATTCGAATGGTTTGGGCAAGCTTTGTAGTGTCTTTATTGAAAGCTTATTGAGAAGAAAAAATCAATCAAAATTATATCATTTTTTTATGTTTAAAATGTAATTAAAATTCAAGCGAAGTCCTGGACCCTTGTAGCTCCACACCCCCTCCCCTCCCCTCACCAACACCTCGTCAACTTATGAAAAGACGACTAATTAATTTTCGCTTTGTAAGTTTTGCGAAACATAAGAAAAAAGGAGGAGGCCAAAGGGTGAGAGTGCCGCAATTAACTTTTCAATTTTGTACAATTCGCCGCTTCTTGAATGGGTTTTCATTGGTTCGGTGGGTAACGATGAACCTTATTCGGCAATATTTCCTTCGCTGTCTCTTTCGCGCGAGAAAATGAAATAGTTTCAGTACCCTCCGCATTATATACACATGCATATATAGGCTTGGGTACCTACATAGGCCATCGGTATAAGTTGTACGTAATGGCCATAATATAACAGGCGACACTTTGGCCAACCTCCAAGAGTCCCCACTGTTATTGCTTCACTCTTTCTCACTTTGGCCATTCTCTCTCTCTCTCTCTCTCTCCCTCTTCTTTTGCCCGTTCGTCGTAATTCTCTCTCTCTCTCTCTCTCTCTCTCTCTCTCTCTTTCTCTCTTCAACTCTCTATTCCACCCTCTAGCTGTTGTCCGAGTTCCCGGTAATATTTGTAGATTTGTGCTTGTGCATGTGCGCTTGCGTGCGCAGATGTATTTACTTCTTAAGCGACTTGATGTTATATAACGAGCGGCGGTGCGGCTTTACATACATTACGTTACAATTAACATTGCAAGATGAAAGTTTCGCACTTTTGCAAATGACTGTTGTGAACCAACGCGTGATGTGAGCTTCACTTCTCTCTTTATTCTCTTACGGCAATTTAGTATTACTCACACTCCTCTCTCTTGTTCTTCCGGCTACTAAGTTTTCTTGCATCGCGTCGTTTTTTCTTTTGCTTACTTCATTTCTTTTTATAGACTTTATTTCCACCTTCCATTTACCTCTTAACTACTGCTCAATTTATTGTTGAAAACTTGTCTCGTTTATTATAACTCGGAGAGGAATTCATTTATGCGTGAGTGCGCATATAGAAATCGGGCGCGTGCGTTTGTTGACTTCATTTATTTTTAAGTAGGTTGGCTACTTTACATTAAGTTGCAATATAATTGCTGCACGGCAACGATTACAATCATCGTATTCTTTTGCTTAAATTTGAGCAGTCGTCCAATTGATATTTAGTTCATGAAGTTTTATACGATAAATTATACGATAAAGCTTGATAGAGAGAGGGCGTGAGGGAGAATTCTTGAGTTTAAGCTCAAAGAAAATTTTAATGTATTCTTAAGTTAGCGAATGATATACATTTTCATTATGCACTAAACGCAGATGGAGAATCGTAAAAGAACTTTTATAACCGATTCGAATAGTTTATACTACATATAAAAAAAAAAATATTTCATTGGAATCTGAATATTTAGTTCTATGATATTATGGTACAATAGAGGACAATGTATTTTAAAAATTATACTTAAAAACGTTTTATAGTTTACCGTATATCATTAATATATTATGGATAACTTTAGTACTAATTTTAAACTCGTTCTTTATCGAAAGGCCATATAGAATAATATCTGACTTAGAAGTAGTTAAATTAAAATCTATTATATATATTTTGTTTGGTGAATAAGATAAAGTATAAGCAACAATTAATTAACATCGTTTAACCATAAAATTTAGCAATAAATTACGCATTTAAAATATAATATTGAGATTAATCTAAGACCTTTGCATGTATTTTGAATATGTATGTTTTAAAAATGAAGTAGAAAATGGGAAATTGTCATATAGGAACCCTTTATCCAATGTTTCTCGATGGGGAAAAGGTGCTCGAGGTCCGTTCATCTTCCGCTTGCGCTTTTTTCTGCGAAGCTTAATTTCAGTTGATTTTCAAAAGTACATTCCAGTCTTCGAATTTTAGATACGAAATGATGATTTATTACTTCTTGAGATCTATACTGACGGATCAACTCCCACGTCATCGATAATATGCAAAGATTTTTTGGTAAATATTTTATATTTCAAAGAAAGGGAGAGTAGTATTAGTTTAAAAATTTATTAAAATATTGTGTTTAATTATATAAGATTTTTAGAACTCGTGTAGTGTTAAAGATGTGAAGGGAACATAAAAATATCAAAGTTAAGGATTACATAGCGTGTCTAATTTAAATTTATCTTAGTCTTACGTTCAATAACTTTCGTTCGGATAATCTTAAATAAGATTATAAAGCATATTTTTACGATAATAACATTTCTAAGTTTTAAATACCTTATGCAACTACTGTATACCTTAAAAAATCTTATGAAAAATAAGTTTCCACCTGTAAGCATTATTTTCTTTTAATATGTAGATTTAATATTATTTATGGAGATTTTTGTACTTTTCCTAGTAAATGGAGTACGTGGTATTTATGGACTATTTATAACCTTATTTTATGGACAAGAAAAATCTGATTCGTCGGTAATACATTTTAAAAATAAGAATCTTGTCTGTTGTATTGAACAGCTATTCGTCGTTTAAGATTTTACATACGATTTATTAATTTTTCTCTCTCACAAAATTACGTTTACTCAATAATATGTATTTAAAAAATATAGATGAGTATCCAAATTTCATGCAAATTTATAAATATCTTTGTAATTCATATCTTTTTTAACGATTTCGAATCTTATACTTGATGCTTTTATTCTTATAAGAAGTTATAAATGTTACTCCCATTCGCGTTCTGTAAGTTAAAAAAATAAAAAAAATCATCAAATTCCTTTTTATATTAATACATATTTAATAATTCAAGCGTAATAATAAAAGATATTTGTTTAAAATAAATTTCATGATTTTGATACAAATGCCTACAATGAAAATAAATGTTCAAAACGAAACTTGACTTATCAATTAAATCGTCTATTTTTATTATTATTTGTTATTGAAGTATAAATATTGAAGCAAATCTTAATGCATACATTCCTCCATATTGCATTTATACATTTTCCATAAGTACAATTTCCTGTTTCCTTAAAAGAATTTAAATATATATATATTTAGTGAATGTGTTTATTTCAAATCGTGTGGTGGGGCCCCTATAAAATTTATGTAAACTATTTTATTTTATACCCTCCACTTATTAGATAAAGAATACCTATTTTTTCCTTTTTTGTAGAATACATTTGGAGATTAAAATAAAAACTGTATCATCAAATTTATTTACCCTACATTTTAGTGAGTCGCAATGTGACTTATTTAATACTTTATAACAGAATAACACGACAATATAATTTTAAACTTTGTAATTATAAATTTATGATGCTACAGTAAGTTTTCACTAACGATTATTTATTGATGAATAATCTTGAATGAATAAATATGTTGTACTATATGTTTCACCCTAGTAATTTTACCATACGAATTCAAATTTATAGAAATATATTTAATTTGCCCATAACCTCTATTTATTTAAAGTACTAAGCAATATTAGATTTATTTTTATACTATTTTAATCATTAAAATTATTCAAATGATTTTTTATAGAATTCAAAGTAATTTTTTACAGCGATAGTAAATTCTTAGTGAATAATTTTAATAGTAATAAAAGTATAAAACTAGTAATCAATTTTTCTGTTATATTTTAGACTTTAGAAATTTAAATGATGAAACTAGTAATATATAAATTATATAAGTAATTTTACGTCAATGTTTTAAGGCATAATTGTAAATATCGGATAATTTTTTAAGTATATATGGTTATCTCTTATTATTTAAGTTTGTATGTTCATATTTCTTATCGGAGAAATTCACGTTGTTTACCTTTAATTTAGAATGAATTCCGTAAAATCTTTTACTTGAAATTTAGAAAACTTAAAAGAAATACTTTATAAATCTTTAAATTACATTAACCATAATAAATATCAAAGTCTTAATATATTAATATATGTAAGAAATTAATATATTTTAATGGTAAAACGTTATGATTCTTAGATTTGTACTTTTATTCTATAAGTATTATTGTTGAAAGTATACATTGAGAGGAAATCATTGTTTTTTATCTTTTAATGATCAAACTTTCATAAGTCAAATTTAATAGAAAAAATTTATTGTGGTAATAAAAACGTTATTTGTATATTTTTTTTATTAACACTTTTATTCATAATATAAATTGAACATTTGAAAGGTAATTTAACTTTGATCGTAAATGTAAAGTTTTAAATGAATATTAATACCAACTTCATGAATATGAACCCACATTTCTTCGATTAATATTATCTGTTTTTCCTGGATTTTAAAATTCATTCATTGTTTGTTAATATTATAATTTGTATAAATTTTAATTCCATTTTGTTTTCTTTATTTAATATTAAGAAAATGGATGCCTGTGTATCAAACTTTACGAAATTTATATAACAAATAAATATATATCTTCTTATATTTTTAAATAAATTTATCAATACGGTATGCACATATATATACATATATAAAAGCTCTAATTTAAATATTAATAAGATTCTTATAATATGATTATTCCATATATTTAGTTCAGACGAGACTATGCATGTTTAAGA